AACAATAAATAAATATTTAATATTCATATTGTTTCGATACTTATTTTGATATATCACACATTAGTATTGTTTTTGATTGTAAAACACCATTTCTAACAGAAATAGATTAACGATTTATCCTAATAATACAACATAGTTAATTTACCTGAAGAAGTTCCAAATTATAATATTGATTAATAATATTTATTATTTATAAAAGTTATTTTAAATGACTAATGAAAAGCATAACTACTTATAGCAATATTAAAAATGTCGATAGAATATTTATCGATATACTTACCTAATAAACACTAACAAAAGACGAGTGTGCCACGCCGGCGGCCGGCGCCTGCGATCAAAGGCCGCGCATGCGTCTTCGCGACGATACGGTGTCTTGACCTTGTATTGCGTCATCATAACTTCTACGCTACTAGTGACGAACTCAAAGTTACTTTCACATTATTGAAAATATCGATATTTAAAAAATCATAACAATAAATAAATATTTAATATTCATATTGTTTCGATACTTATTTTGATATATCACACATTAGTATTGTTTTTGATTGTAAAACACCATTTCTAACAGAAATAGATTAACGATTTATCCTAATAATACAACATAGTTAATTTACCTGAAGAAGTTCCAAATTATAATATTGATTAATAATATTTATTATTTATAAAAGTTATTTTAAATGACTAATGAAAAGCATAACTACTTATAGCAATATTAAAAATGTCGATAGAATATTTATCGATATACTTACCTAATAAACACTAACAAAAGACGAGTGTGCCACGCCGGCGGCCGGCGCCTGCGATCAAAGGCCGCGCATGCGTCTTCGCGACGATACGGTGTCTTGACCTTGTATTGCGTCATCATAACTTCTACGCTACTAGTGACGAACTCAAACGTACATTCACATTATTGAAAATATCGATATTTAAAAAATCATAACAATAAATAAATATTTAATATTCATATTGTTTCGATACTTATTTTGATATATCACACATTAGTATTGTTTTTGATTGTAAAACACCATTTCTAACAGAAATAGATTAACGATTTATCCTAATAATACAACATAGTTAATTTACCTGAAGAAGTTCCAAATTATAATATTGATTAATAATATTTATTATTTATAAAAGTTATTTTAAATGACTAATGAAAAGCATAACTACTTATAGCAATATTAAAAATGTCGATAGAATATTTATCGATATACTTACCTAATAAACACTAACAAAAGACGAGTGTGCCACGCCGGCGGCCGGCGCCTGCGATCAAAGGCCGCGCATGCGTCTTCGCGACGATACGGTGTCTTGACCTTGTATTGCGTCATCATAACTTCTACGCTACTAGTGACGAACTCAAAGTTACTTTCACATTATTGAAAATATCGATATTTAAAAAATCATAACAATAAATAAATATTTAATATTCATATTGTTTCGATACTTATTTTGATATATCACACATTAGTATTGTTTTTGATTGTAAAACACCATTTCTAACAGAAATAGATTAACGATTTATCCTAATAATACAACATAGTTAATTTACCTGAAGAAGTTCCAAATTATAATATTGATTAATAATATTTATTATTTATAAAAGTTATTTTAAATGACTAATGAAAAGCATAACTACTTATAGCAATATTAAAAATGTCGATAGAATATTTATCGATATACTTACCTAATAAACACTAACAAAAGACGAGTGTGCCACGCCGGCGGCCGGCGCCTGCGATCAAAGGCCGCGCATGCGTCTTCGCGACGATACGGTGTCTTGACCTTGTATTGCGTCATCATAACTTCTACGCTACTAGTGACGAACTCAAAGTTACTTTCACATTATTGAAAATATCGATATTTAAAAAATCATAACAATAAATAAATATTTAATATTCATATTGTTTCGATACTTATTTTGATATATCACACATTAGTATTGTTTTTGATTGTAAAACACCATTTCTAACAGAAATAGATTAACGATTTATCCTAATAATACAACATAGTTAATTTACCTGAAGAAGTTCCAAATTATAATATTGATTAATAATATTTATTATTTATAAAAAGTTATTTTAAATGACTAATGAAAAGCATAACTACTTATAGCAATATTAAAAATGTCGATAGAATATTTATCGATATACTTACCTAATAAACACTAACAAAAGACGAGTGTGCCACGCCGGCGGCCGGCGCCTGCGATCAAAGGCCGCGCATGCGTCTTCGCGACGATACGGTGTCTTGACCTTGTATTGCGTCATCATAACTTCTACGCTACTAGTGACGAACTCAAACGTACATTCACATTATTGAAAATATCGATATTTAAAAAATCATAACAATAAATAAATATTTAATATTCATATTGTTTCGATACTTATTTTGATATATCACACATTAGTATTGTTTTTGATTGTAAAACACCATTTCTAACAGAAATAGATTAACGATTTATCCTAATAATACAACATAGTTAATTTACCTGAAGAAGTTCCAAATTATAATATTGATTAATAATATTTATTATTTATAAAAGTTATTTTAAATGACTAATGAAAAGCATAACTACTTATAGCAATATTAAAAATGTCGATAGAATATTTATCGATATACTTACCTAATAAACACTAACAAAAGACGAGTGTGCCACGCCGGCGGCCGGCGCCTGCGATCAAAGGCCGCGCATGCGTCTTCGCGACGATACGGTGTCTTGACCTTGTATTGCGTCATCATAACTTCTACGCTACTAGTGACGAACTCAAAGTTACTTTCACATTATTGAAAATATCGATATTTAAAAAATCATAACAATAAATAAATATTTAATATTCATATTGTTTCGATACTTATTTTGATATATCACACATTAGTATTGTTTTTGATTGTAAAACACCATTTCTAACAGAAATAGATTAACGATTTATCCTAATAATACAACATAGTTAATTTACCTGAAGAAGTTCCAAATTATAATATTGATTAATAATATTTATTATTTATAAAAGTTATTTTAAATGACTAATGAAAAGCATAACTACTTATAGCAATATTAAAAATGTCGATAGAATATTTATCGATATACTTACCTAATAAACACTAACAAAAGACGAGTGTGCCACGCCGGCGGCCGGCGCCTGCGATCAAAGGCCGCGCATGCGTCTTCGCGACGATACGGTGTCTTGACCTTGTATTGCGTCATCATAACTTCTACGCTACTAGTGACGAACTCAAAGTTACTTTCACATTATTGAAAATATCGATATTTAAAAAATCATAACAATAAATAAATATTTAATATTCATATTGTTTCGATACTTATTTTGATATATCACACATTAGTATTGTTTTTGATTGTAAAACACCATTTCTAACAGAAATAGATTAACGATTTATCCTAATAATACAACATAGTTAATTTACCTGAAGAAGTTCCAAATTATAATATTGATTAATAATATTTATTATTTATAAAAGTTATTTTAAATGACTAATGAAAAGCATAACTACTTATAGCAATATTAAAAATGTCGATAGAATATTTATCGATATACTTACCTAATAAACACTAACAAAAGACGAGTGTGCCACGCCGGCGGCCGGCGCCTGCGATCAAAGGCCGCGCATGCGTCTTCGCGACGATACGGGGCCTTGACCTTGTATTGCGTCAGATGTTTGAAACATTTTTTCAAATAATGTCGATTTTAAACTTATTTAGCCTATGCACTGTAACTGACCTCTGCTTGATTTTTTTTAAGTTATACTACATATTTTTTATAATAAGCTTATATGTACTTATATGTATACATGCCTTCAAGGGTTGACACAGTTTTTCACACACCCTGTATAAAAAATGTATGCTGTATAGCTCTTTGTCTCTAAGTGTTGTAAATTCAAAATCTCTAAATATATTTAAAAAAACGATTAAGAACCCATGTATTAGATGATTTCACTGATCTTGTTTAATATCACTACTGTTTATTATTTGTAATATCTTAATTGTAGTTATTATTTTAAAATTTCCTTTGTAAGCGAACTTTGTTCTTTTTGGAAATAAACTTCTTTAAACCTAACCTAATGTATCGATTGACAATGATGGAAATAACATATGTATTTTATACTAGGCTTTTTAATTTTTAAAATCGAATAAAATATGTAATAGTAGTATAATGAAACTCGTAATTTTTGGTATTTAAGGAAATTTCATATTGTTAGTAAATTACTGTTACGGTCATTTTTATTATATACCACTCATTTTCGAAGAGCTTCCATAATATTATTACATTTTCAAAGCTTTAGTTCTGGTCTTCCATGACTTTGAAGGTATTTAATCACTGAAGTTAGAAGGTCAATAACCTTTAGACAATCAAGTATACTATTTGCGCTGTAGCTTGGTGCGGGTGACATTTGCCTATATGACGTTGATATCTGTCAGTACCATATGACTAGTGATGTTGCGTAATTCATTTTTATCATTAACGATACTCGCAGTATAAATAATATAGTACTTATATAAAATAATTAAAATCGGGTATGAGTAATCTGATATGAATCGGGTATGAGTTTAGACGAATAAAATCATTTTTATATAAGATCTGTTGTTTCATTAATATAATTATAGACTTTTTACAATAATAATTGAACTACAGCCAATATATGTATATTTTTTATTATAAAAAAAACATCGACTATCCACTGTAGCAGTGCATCCCATCACTAAATACGTCTATGGCATTACGTTAAACGCATAATACTTTGCTCAATTTTTCTTTCCATTAGATTATATTTGTACACTAAAACATTCTGGTTTGGTTTAATTTAAACTACTTCAGTAATTAATTATTTAATTTATTACGAATGTGGTACAGCTGAAATACTAAGTCATAATTTGTAAATCGCGGCAACTTTCAAAAGTGAAACGAAACGATACTGAAACTGTCACCCGCACCATGCTACAGCGCAAATAGTATAATATATTAAAATACTTGTTTCAGGACTTCTAGGCAAAGGTATGAGCAGACAAGCGAATCGTATATGGAACTACGGTGTGATAGGCGGCTGTGGATCTCTGGCGCTGCTACTTCTGTTCCCGTTGGTGTCACTGGCGGCCAGCCTACTGTCACTGGCTGTGGCCGCCAGTGTGCCAGTGTGGATGCCACCGCTGGCCGTGGCATTACACGCTGTTAATGCGCTGGTGTTCGATCTAGATTGTCCTGATCCGCCACGGCTTAATCGGTACTAATTCTGAACATTATATTTGATATTATGTATCTTAATCAGATTACAATTATATTTTTTTAAGGGTTTCCTTTCAGAAACTATTTTGTACGCATTCTTAACACTTATATAAATTCAATTACCATAGTTCTATAAGTCACAAAGTTACAGTGTTCTCATAATAAATTCAACTAGAAAATTGTCATAATTTAATGTGTTTTATAATAAAAAAATGTCCATATAAGAATGGCTTCACAAAAAATATATATTCAGACAAAATAAATAGTTTTCCTAGTTATAATATATAATTATTTTCAGTTGGTTCGTGCTGTTCGAAGTGTTGATATGGCGTATCGGGTTGTTGGGTGTGTTACAGCCGATAGTCGCATTCATCGTAGCTGTGTTCGTGTGTCCACTGACGGCTCTCATTATGCTAGTCTGTAAGTTTATACGGAAATTTTATTTACAAAAAATATCATTTACTAAATTTAGCAGCTTTATTATTATTGAAATTGAAGAGAAATGTTTCCCTAAATTTTTAAGATGTATAAGTATACAAATACTTAATTATTCACTGTCCTTGATTTATATCTTATATACTCATCCCTGTATAAATCCAAATTATAATCCATCAATAATATTGTACTTTTCCTTTATATTTATGTATTATATTCCCAAGTGTAACGATATCTGTATAACAATGCTATACCTAATGAATGTTATTCAACTTTTCGCTATCCTTGTCTAATTATATCTATCTATCACTGTATAAATCCAAATGATATGCACCAACCTTTTCTCAGTTTTCCTTTATTTGTATGGATTAGTTTCATGAGTAAAATGATTTTTTTTTATACCTTCATAACAATATTAGACATTAGTGTATAAATAATTTAACTGATAAATGATAACATAATCTGTAATACCAAACCTAATAATGTATTGTTCATGTGTGTGTAGTGTGTGTCAGCTGGTGGTGTGTGCGCGGCGTGTGGGAGGCTGTGTCGTGGCGCGTGTTGTTAGTGAGAGGCGCGCGAGTCCCCGCTCACGACTCACGGTTCTGTAGACGAGTCGCCGGACCTGCTCTGCTCACACACGCATCCTATCAGATCACGTATGTATACTACCTATACATGTATATTATCACTAGCTACGCCCCGCGGTGTTACCTGCGGATTTCTGGGATTTCCGGGATGTAATGTAGCCTATGTATTATTCCTGGACCTCAGCTTCCTGTATACAAAATGTTATAAAAATCGGTTCAGCCGTTTGAGCGTGAAGAAGTAACAAACATACACACACACTCACAAACTTTCGCAATCATAATATTAGTAGGATTAACTGAAGATTAGAACATGTTGATTGTATGTCCTACTGATTATATAAAGATATTAAGCTAACATGCTGAATACTATATCTCAACTATAGCCTATATACTAAAATATTAATCATCGTCATCATAAGAATACTATGGATTTTTGAATATTGGAACCTTTAGTATGCATTCAATAAGATATGAAAAGTTCAGTGGTGATTATATAATACATTAAAAACTAAAACACACCGTTCTACGATATATAATTAAACGATATCTGTAGACCTCTATAGTTACTTATTAAAACACTTAAAACTGTATTTTTTTAAAAGAAATGCCTTTATGAGACATTGTTATAGTCTTCCAATCTAAACTATACACTTATTATTGTAAATAAAACATTTTTATATACTAATAGTTCTTTTGAAATAAATATAAATAATACATTTAATGTTTGTTTCTATACAGGGCCGCCCAAGCGTTAGCGGCTGTGTGTGCTCGAGGCGAGTTAGAGTCCCTTACCTCGTGGGCCAGTGAAGTAGAGGCCGCCATAGAACGACCACTCAGGGATTACGCTCACTTCGTAGACGCATGCTTCGGACCATTCTCAGTACAAATAGCTAAAGTAAATTAATATAATTATAGACAATTTTCATAATTATATCGTTTGTATTTTATATCGAATCAATTGAAGTTTATAATGTAGAGATTTAGAAACTTTTCTCATTTAATTTTCACTCATCAATTTTCATAGTTTTTTTTTTTTGAACATCGAATCAGTTGAAGTTTATTATATATACATTTAGAAACTTTTCTCATTTAATTTTCACTCATACTGTTACATTTGTCAAAGTCAACTTAAGTTCAAAGTTTTCGTGATTGAAGTTATAATCAAATGGTAGAAATCTTTGTTAATCTCTATTATTCATTTTAATAAATATTTTTATCAACAGACGGGTGCTTACAAACAACTTGAAAAGGAATGCAGTGAACTAGTTTGGTCTTTGAGAGAGAAAGTTGCGACGAGGAAACGAGAACTGTCCCTGGGACTGAGTGACGCAGCGAGGGCCAGGGTACGGATGCAGGCGCAGGATTTGAGGGTGAGGATAACAAATATATAGACTCTCTTCTATCTGGCAATTTTAAAGCTATAGCCAGGGCCTGCCTTACATGTCGTGAATAGTTCTGGCTAATTGTTTTTACGACCGGTCGCCTGCCTGACATCAACCCTCTTTGGAAAATAAATCTATAGCTACCTATATATTATAATAGTCTATACAAATAAATTGCTAAAATATAAGGTCCGAGAGCGCAGGAATATAGATTGTAAGATACACGAGATGAATAGAAAGACAGATCTTAAGATATGTGACGTCATACCGATTACTGCTTGTCATAGGTATTGTGAAATTAATAGTAATGAATAATATCCTTTCTCGGGAGATATTTTATGTTAATGAATCATTCAATAAATACAAAATTGATTCTAAATAACTTCTATGGCTGTTATATCCAGACAGAGAATTTAGGATTACTATAAACTTACTTTGACATATATTATAACAATACTTACCTTACCGTCTCTTACAATCTATACCTAAGAAGACTAAATGATTTGTCGAATGTTAGGATAAAAATCAAAATAAAAAATAAATATATCACTTTGCCTGTATGGTATTAGGAATCTTTTGATTCATACAGTCAGCAGCGTTACTATTAAAATAACATTCTATCTATATGTACTTCATGCAGTCCCGGTTATGTTTGTTAAATATGTATATATTCTGCCAATACTGATGCTTATCTTGCTATAACTTAATACCCTGACTCCGCACATTATGTACAGAAAGCCGTCCATCTATCAGCGATTGAGTTGTCCCGTGTGTGGGGCGAAGCGGCCTCTAGAAGTGATGATTGGTGGACAGCACGCGGACTCGAACCTTCGGACTGGCACGCACTCGCCGCCAACATGCTCGTTGAGGTACAGAGGACGAGAACACACACACAATGGCATATTAAACACACACACACACACGTGAGATATGTTTGCAAAGAACGCTGTATAAAATAATCAATGGAATTTAAAAATATTTTTTTAATTATAACTATATACTACATAAAGTCGGGGAGACCCTGGCTAAAGCTGGGAAATTGCCAGGAAGAAGACTACATATAGTGGGGGATTGCAAATCGTCACAAATCCACGTATATATGTATTATAATTCCATGTAACTTCATTAGAAGCAGACTGACAGAAGAAGGTTTAAACTGAAATAGTTTCTAAATTAATTACTTATAAGGTAATTTTTTCACCAAGAGTAATAAATTAAAGACTAAATAAACTTAACAACGTATGTAATCGCATTGCTATTTTTCGTTTTACAATAAAGGGTATACAAATAATAATTGTCACTAGCAGGTGTTCGACGCTGAGATTCTAGTCGCGTTGGAGGAGGGTGAAGCCCGAGTTTCCCTGGAGGCGGGCCCGGGGGCTGCGAAGTGGGGCCGCGCCGCCCGCGACCACGCGCCGCCTGACGTACTGGCTGAGAGAGACGACTGGGGGCCGGCGCCCGGTGAGGAGATATGACACATACACACATACATATATAGAGCTTACAGCAACGGACAAGACGAAACAAAAAAAGACTTATATATCCTAATAATATTATAATTGCTTAGGTGGTAGAGCCTAGCTGTAGTTAATAACTACAGCTCGAACATGGGCTGGCTCGACCGGGGAAGTACCACCCTCTCACAGAAGATCGGCGTGAAGTAGCCTCTAATGGCTGCGTTTCGTCTGATGAGTGAGAGAGCCGGTTGCCCTTTCCCTATTCCCACCCTTTCCTACCATTTCCTTATTCCCACCCCACCCTATCCCTAAAAAACAAGGTTGGCAACGCATCCGCATCAAGATGTTGCGGATGTCCATGGGCGACGGTAACCACCTTCCATCAAGTGGGCCGTCTGCTCGTTTGCCACCTTTCACATAAAAAAAAAATAATTGCGAAAGTTTGTGTGTATGTTTGTTACCTCTACGCTGAAACGGCTAAACCGATTTAGATAAAATTTTGTATACAGGAAACTGACATCCAGGAATATCACATAGGCTACTTTACATCACGGAAAACCGCGGGTAAAACCGCGGGGCGCAGCTTGTATATTTATAAAGATACACTTACATATAACCTATAGGTATTGATATCAAAAAGAAACACTACTAAATACAACGTGTTTTCTAGATAGAACATATATTCACATCTCATAGACATAATAATATAATCAGATTATGTCAATCGAAACTCATCTGGTAGAACGTGATACAAAAAAGTTAATAATTAAATTTGTTCCTTTCCTTGATAGGTTGTTCTATTTTAAACTATTGTAAACTTAATTAGTATTACACACGACCAAGTTAAATTTTTAAGTTTTTTTTTTTCTTATCTTGAATTCTTTATAAATATGATCAATAATAATTAATCTATTAGCAAATATGTATATTATCACACAATATAAGAACTCGACTCGAGTCTTTTAATATTTTTCTATATTCTATTTGACATATTAATAATTAACATGCATAACAATTAATTGTGTAATATGTAAATAGAAATTTAATATTTCATACATTCAACTTCGAAAGTCAAATGATAAACTTTCAATTCTATAAACCACAGATTAAATATAATTTAATCAAATCAACCTAGTCAATTGATCAACTAATGATTATACGTCATATATTTATATACTGTGTCACCAGGTGTATGGGGTGAATGGTCGGGTACTCCGGCGCCCCGAGTGCCTCCGCCCTCGCTGGAGGTGTCCGCGTTCAGTCCCCGGAGCCCTGCGTTACCCCCACTACCGCCGCCCGCTGCTGTCGCCTTAGTACTGCATAATAGGTAATATATACTCTATAAACTTCTTCTTCTTCTACCTGGCTATTTCCCAGATTTAACCAGGGTCTGCCATACATGTTGTGAATAGTTTTGGCTAATTGTTTTTACGACCGGCCGCCTGCCTGATATCAACCCTCTTTGGGAATATACACTCTATAAAGTAATTATTAATATTGATAGTTGCAAAAAGGACATTAGAGTAACCTTACAACAGTTTTGTATCTCTGATCCATATTTTAAATTTTCATTACCTAGTTTGATAATATAATGTGAGAAGATGTATTAGTTATACACAATTCAGTTGTGTCTAGTTTGAAGATTCATTTAGTGAGAATGTTGGAAGAATTATTCGATAGTAAATCTATGTACGATATCATGTAAATCCTCAGATATATAAAATAAAATACTCTATAAGAATCTGAAATATGTGGCAAAAGAATTAATAGTGATAAATAATTTTGTATTTTGTATTGCATTTGTTACTATTATTCGACATGTTTTTCACAAACACATTTAAGACAGTACAAAATAACAATTGTCTGCTCTGTAATTATGATATTTTTTTTATAATATTGCTTAACAATTTATAACAAACAATGTTTTCAGAGAATCGGACAATCCTATACAACTAGATTCAGAACTTTGTACTGAAATACTGAAAACTCTTGAAGATGCGCCCGACTGTGATGACAGACGAGGTACAGGCTTTCAACATTATACTTATAATAATATTTTAACTTAAATTTCATAAAATAACAATAGTATGGCAGAATTTACATTTGCAATAATAAAAAACTTGTATATAATAATTTCAACTAAACTCAAGATTTACTATGGTGTTCATTGAATCAAAAAATAGTTTGAATCTTTTAAAATAAAATTTATAAAGTATTATTTAATTCCTATCATATCATGTATCTATATATCACTACATTTGCTCATTTTTCGCATATTAGTCTAAAGTAAAAGTAACTAATTAACATATATTTTATATCAAGATGATGTTGAACGTTATCGCGGCGGTGGTAGTGAGGCGACCAGTGATACAAGTGGCTCTGACACACCGGACGACGAAGGTCGACAAGAACACGCGCCGGACTGCAGGTACATACATACATAAATACATACATACATACATACATACATACAAACATATTACATACATATATACATACAACGACAACGAAACAAAATAAACATTATAAACAAACACTACACATAACATACAGTTATGACTCATTAAGTCTACTTTTTTAAATGAAGTTAGTTCAATCTATTTTGAATATATGTAATAATCTCTACTAATATTATAAATGCGAAAGTAAATCTCTCTGTTTGTCTGTCTGCTACGCTTTCACGCCCAAACCACTGAACTGATTTTAATGAAATTTGGTACAGAGATATAGTTGACCTTGAGAAAGAACATAGGATAGTTTTTATCCCAGACTTTTGAAAGGTCCTCTTGGAAACGCGATATAACCGAACTCCACGCGGGCGGAAAGCTAGTTTGTTATAATAATTATAATTCAAATAAACAAATTACCTTCAAGAAGCTTATCTTGTTAGATTTTAATTTGTTAAAAAAATAAGATGGATTAAAAAGATGACTTACATATAACACAAAATTGTAGTTATATAGGAATTGTAAGATGTCGCTCTATCATAACCATCTTAAGACTAGTACCATCATCACAAATAAATTGAAGAGCAATATGTAGTTAATTTTAAATGTTAATCTCATTAGCAACTATTAGTATTATACCATTTCTAAGTCTTGATATAAACTAACTAGGGATTGCAATCCAGCGGCGTTTTCAATCCAGCGGCGTTTTCAATCCAGCGGCGTTTTCAATCCAGCGGCGTTTTCAATCCAGCAGCGTTTTCAATCCAGCGGCGTTTTCAATCCAGCGGTTCTATCCAGCAGCGTTTTCAATCCAGCAGCGTTTTCAATCCAGCGGAATTTTTGCTGGATTGACCTGAATCCAGCTGGATCCAGCGCGGATCCAGCAAAACGTGGAACGAAAATAAAAAGACGACATTTTTAAGACTTTTCATTAATTTGTACTTCTTACGATAATCTTTGAAATCTTCCACTCATTTGGTGATATATTAATTTGCTTTGATTTTTTTATAATTTGAGATCAAAATAATCAACATAAAATTAAATAACAAACATATAACCTTATATTCATATAACATTTAAGATAATGTTACTGAGTAAGCACTATCTTATTAATTACGCTTATGTTTAATGATAGGACGGCTGATCAGTAGCAATCAGTCTCACAAATTCTTTTAAAATTAACTTAATTAACATTCTTTTAAAAAAGGACCGTAACAATAACACTATTTTAATTTTCAATAGTATTTTTGTATCAAACAAAAAAGCTTTGAAATAATCTTCTCTCCGCTCGTTAATCCTTCATAATTAAGCAGTTTAAAGTCTGACGATAAGAGACTACTTTTTTTTTGAATTCTCTGAAAGTAAGACCTTAGAAAACAAATTTTATCTATAGTCTTATCTCCCAACCTGCTTCGCACAGAACTGCATATGTAGCCGGCTGCTGAGAATGCCCTTTCAGCCCTTACAATGGTCGATTTTAAGGTCATTAAATACTCATAAACCATTGATAAATGTTCACCTCGCACTCCTTCGGTTTCATAAACGCTCATTTCTTTTTTCAGAATCTTTTTGTAATCTAATTGACCACTTGGCTTTTGTTTATTAAAGTTCTCCTTCTCTCTTTTAAGTTCTATCTCAAGCTCTAGCTCTAAAGTCATTTTAACGGGTTCTGCGTCATCATCTAAACGATCTTCTTCTATGTCCATGGTATCTTTTTGCACCGGCTCTACAATATATTGTTTATTTACTTGTTTCAACAATGTTTTTATCTCCTGCCGCATCGCATTCTTTTTTGGCAATGGAAAATAGTCAGCTTTTTTTACTGCTTCTTCATACTTTTTTGGATTTTTCAAGTACACTAACGTACCAGTAACTTCGGAGAGGCGTCGTTCAGCGATTCTGTTGAATTCAGCTAGCTCGGCGCTTATGGAAGTGCCCTGGTTATTTAGCTTGTCTAAGACAAATTTCAGGGTTGTGTCGGCAGTTAACAATGTGGACTCTCTTCTTCAAAGAGCTTCTACAGCCAGTTTCAACGGTTGTAGACTGACAAGCAACTCATTCATTATTGATTCGAAAATGGCGGCAACTCAAAAATAAACAATAGAAATTGATACGTTTGCGGACCCGCATCGCTGGATCAAGATGTATGCTGGATCCAGCAATTGCAATCCATAAAACTAACAGGTTGACTTACTAAAATACGCCTACAATTCTGAATAATCTATTTGTACCTAATTTATACAAAACCTGTAAAATATTAGTTGTAATACACTACATTCTATACATTTTATACTAAACATCAAGTTTTCTTACAGAATATCCCCGGCCACAGAGCGAGCTGCCTGCAGGTGGACCCTCACAGGTCGAGGGGTCCGTCTGAGAGCAGACCTGGCCAGTCCTGAGGACGTGACCTTGGACACGGACAGACACGTAGGAACATCCGTTTGAACATTATTTTATACAACATAAGGTCGAATTTCCTTTGAACTCAACATTGAAGTAGAAAAATCAATTTTGATTTTTATTTTACATACAGTAAGGTCGACTTTAATTTATATTAAGAATTGAGATTGTAACAAATGAAATCTGTATTATTAATTCTTATAATAATACAATAGAATCCCTTCCATTTCGGACTTTATCTCATATGGGACAAAGTTGATTTTCATTTGAATTCGTTACTTCGAGTATGTATACCAATTTCAATTCTACTATGCCTGTAGTAGAGTTCAAAATCGATAACAAAGGAATAATAATAAGTCACGTTATAACTGACGTTAAATAATAATTGTAAGTCGAACATAATATAGCGCTAGTATAGTACCGGCGAAAAAAAAATTGTGCTCTCTTCATAGATCTAAGAGTAACTAACACAAACGCTTAGCCTTATTTAATTTAAGCTTTATTAGATAATAATTTGACGTAGATATATATAATAACACGACCAGAAATTATCTATATCAGAATGTTTTATCTGTAAGATATAAGCCTCATTTATATATAGCTTTAATGTAAAATATAAGAGAATTATATCAACTCATTATGTACACGGAATATATTGAATCTGTCAACCAAAGCTTAGTTAATTATTTATTTATTATACTCTTGTTTTTATCAAGTTGGACATGACGCGGAATGAAGGGAAACCTTTAAAGAATATTGTATGTATTATTACAATAATTAGAATAGTTTTATTAATAAATATTTACCCTCTAATATATGTTCATCATTATACAGTATGTTCAATTTTGTTTATTTTTTTTTTTATCAATTTCTTCGTATGCACGTAATGACAACATTTCATGGTTTCTCATTCATATATCATTAAATATAATTATATTTCAGATTTACTAATACAAATTTATGAATCTCTTGTGTTTAAAATTCTATTTTATTTGTATAGTTTTTTTATTTTATATTATAGGGGGAATTTTTACACCAACCCCATCGTTTTCGTAGATTTTTTTTTATTTAAAAATATATTTGCAAAATTGAATTGTTAACTTGATAGATGTCATCATTTTTTGACAGCTAAATGTGCATTTACATTGATCTTTTTATTTATAGTCTACATCAATGAAGTCTCCATTAATAATTCTAAGCTCTTGTAATTTATGTTTAGTTATTAATAATTGTTTTATGCATTTGATAACACTCTCTAGATAATATGTTAATGAATTATATCATATAAGAAGCAATAATCGCACATTTTAGATAGTAAAGAATCGTTTGTCCGTCATTGTATTTTATATGTGTAATATTTTTTTGGTAGACTAAAACACTGATACAACGACAAAATATGTTTATTCCTATAACCACCGATAATAAAATGCTTGAGATTTAAACATGTGAGTTTTTATTTTTAATATCTTAGTAGTTATACGACAATTTTCGAGGGCTAATATTTTTGCTGTTTAAATATGGTGCCCAAGTCAAAGAAGAACCTAGACATCGTTTATGAAGGATTAAAACATTCTTCAATGTATCATAACGTTTTTAATATGTGTAAAACTGTATTATCTTTTCATAACAGTGAAACATAATTTCATTAAAGATAGAAATTTATAATTTTCGCATATTGTATAGACGCCTCCTAATAACAAGGACTGAAGACCAAAGTCTTCGACCAATGCGTCCTACCGGTTATGACCTACGGGGCTGAGACGTGGACACTCACTGTAGGACTAGTCCACAAACTCAAAGTCGCTCAGCGAGCTATGGAACGAGCTATGCTCGGCGTTTCTTTGAAGGACAAACTTCGAAACGAAGAAATCCGACGAAGAACTAAGGTTACCGACATAGCTCGTAGAATAAGCCAGCTGAAGTGGCAGTGGGCTGGTCACATCTGCAGAAGGACCGACGCACGGTGGAGCAAGCGTGTCCTTGAGTGGAGACCGCGTCTCGGCAAACGTAGAGTAGGACGCCCCCCAGCTAGGTGGACCGATGACCTTAAAAAGGTCGCTAGGTCTCACTGGATGCGGAAGGCAGAGGACCGAGTGTTATGGCGCGTGTTGGGAGAGGCCTATGTCCAGCAGTGGACTGCAATAGGCTAAATAGATAGATAGATAGAATATTTTAGAAGATATGAGAGTTCAAAACTTAGCTTGTAACGTAAGTCAGTGGTGGCCTAGTGGTTAAAATGCCCGCCTCTCATACACGAGGGCGTGGGTTTGATCCTGGCCCTTGCAAGTACCATAATGATTTTTCCGAGTCATATGTATTATGTACTTTCTAAGATATTTAGACATCACTGATTAATGATTTGCTGCCTGCCTGACATCAACATTCTTGTGGAATGCCACAGGCAGGCGGCCGGTCGTAAAAACAATTAGCCAATACTATTCACAACATGTAAGGCAGAGCCTGGCTGAAGATGGGAAATTGCCAGGTAGAAGAAGAAAACTTGTAATTTGACAAATTAAGAAAAATAAATTACTCATTTTTATTTTAAAATCAAACATAGATATATGTCTAGCCTCCAGAATGTTATTTAAAAAATGATACTAACCAATCGGTTTCTAAATTAAAAATTTAGTTTCAATAAAAAACTAAGATATTCAAGTTTCAATAAGAAACTATTTATTAACATTAATTCATTACCTCAAAGATTAAAATATGTACTAATGATAAATACATATAACTTTTCATTGACATATCCTAGGCTCAGAAATTTAAAGGCTATTAATGTTTTTAAGACTTAATAACAGATTTTAAGTGAATTAGAAAATTTAACAACATTATTGCAATTTACAACTTATAAGCCGATGGACGAATAAGCGATAGAAAACTAGAAAACGTGACTGGTTTGTTTCAAGTTAAATATATCTTACAAATAGTTGACATGCTTTTAGGAGTGAAAGATTGAAATTTTTATGCAATCACATGGAATAAATAAACGGTGTTATTGCATGAGCAACATTTATATACAATTTACTTGTTTTGTGTTGTTTTTATCCATGATTATTAAGGAACTGGCAATTAATTTTTTTAATACAATCTTTAGTTTTTTTCCAAGTAAAATAGCCTATTTAATTTAATACAGATATATGTATATAGCAGGAAGCACGATTGAATAGTGTTTGTAATTTTGTTATTGGCTGTTCATAAGTTTCCTCTATAAATTATAAAAATAATGGCTTACTTTTGTTAAAATAAAGAAGTTGTGAGAATATTAATTGATAATTTAAAAGAAAACCAAATCCTTTAAATTATAACCAATGGCCTTAGATGGATAGATATTCTTCCTCTCATTAGATTTACTACAACAGGTTAAATAAATAAAACAATCATTTTATTGAATGGAATTTAAAATTTATTAAACCTACCTACCTATAATATTATAATCATCTCTGTTACATGTTCATATCACATGGATTTGAAATTGTTTATAAAATACCTACTATGAAAATTACTAAGCTTGAATATAGAGTAATAAATAAAAAAATGAAAAAAAAAACAATTTCATTTGATCTTCCGAGTTAAAACTCATTAGTCATTTTTAAACATTTAATTATAACAATAATAATTTAAAAAAATTTGTTGGACCTACCTACCTAAGGATTAAATAATTAAAAATTATATTTAAGAAAAAAAAATATTTAAAAAGGAGTAATTATTATGCTTACACAATTTAAAAAAAAGATAAACAAAAAATTGGTCCTAATTTAAAAAATGCTAACATAAAATACCGTCTATATAACTTGTGTTTGTAATGTTGGCATTAGTGTTATGTATTGCAATAATTAAAAAAAAACTTTAACCACAGCACACCTGTAAAATTAATATACATAAAAATATTAAAACATTGATACTATAATCGAATTTATAATGTTTTAACATGATATTATATAATTGATAATATTTTTGTGCTACTTAATTGATTTATTCAATTTATTGTTAATCGACCTTCTTGATACAGGATGTTCAGATAGTAATAATGTTTAATATAATCTTTTTATTGACCAATTTCTTCCAGGAAAAGAATATTTAAGTTATTTAATTTAACACTTATTTTACCACATGGTATACAGAATTTCGTGAAACTAAAAAAAATGTATTATTCATATTTCTTCTTTCATCATTATTATCTGATTATCCTGTACAGTATGCCCTTTTTTAGTGTCACATTTAAACATTAATATTCTGACAAACGCTCAATAAATTTTATCAATTACCATATCAAAATCCAAATTAAAAATTTAAATTAAATAGTATCGCAAATAAAATAATAATCTGTGACAAAGTGGAAATCTTATACACGATTTATATGATCTGATAGTTGGATTCAGGGGCGTAGCTACCATAGTATAAGCTGTATCAATGGTTAAACACCTCTTTATTAAAGTTTGAACCATATGAGGGAAAATTTATAATTTATATGGCAACCCTAAGAATATTAAGGGAAAATTTGCCAAGCAAGGGTTCCTTTGTCCAAGGATTTGATACATAGCTAATAAAAGGTAACCTACGCCCCTAGTTAGATTGTTGCACATGATTTTCACTCAATATAGTCTCCATGTGATAAAGATTCTATACAAAAATAAACGTGACTCTACTACACATCTAATTTTAGAAATACAAACACTAGCAAGCTACAATAGGCGATGGCAACACAGAACATTTTGTTTCCATCACACTCGCCTTATCTATACTTCACACGACAAATGCTTATTCGAATTTATTTTTTCTTGTATTAGGCCCACAACAATACGCAAATACTTTTCAATTCCATAAAATTGATTGCAGCCAACCAACTAGTTGCCAATGTAACATTATCATATAGCCTTTAATAACAAGTTACAGACCTAAAACATACACTCCACGATATATTACTTTCTACATATCAGATGTTAGAATAAATCCAGTGACATGACGTGAAAGCTATCTTTTCCTTTACGTACCATACAAAATGTACCGTATTGACACACAAACACGGCCGTAACTGTTACAAATATCGCGCTGGCTCTAAGTGTCATTAATGTATAATAAACTTTCATTTGCGGCCGATCGCCAATAAATATATATATAATATTTGTAAAGGCGGTTGTGGTTGTATTGCTTTCGATTACTATGCATGTTTGATACTACACTTAAAATATGTCCAATACAATTTGAAAACACTACTTAAATCTAGATTTAAACCTAAATCAATTTGTTATTACTATTATAATATACGAATACAAAGAAACTTAAGATTTTTAGGTAATTTTTGTTTTTCAAAATATATATAAATACTTTTTAATAGTAGAAAAATTAGAAAATGTCTATAAAATGCGTAAGTTTACAAATGTAGCCTATTATAGAGTATAATTTTTACTTAGATTCATCTACGATATACGAAAAATATAAACCATATCGTATTCGTAAAAAAAAAAAATTACCAGCGACCGGGATGTCGCTAACGGAACAAGCAATTGCAACCATTGTATAATAAAATAAAAAAAATTATAAATACAAGTCATAACAAGAACTATTCATATTAGTATCAATTGTGAAATATCTTTTGAGCATTTGACAACATTTCCCGCCAAAAGTACATGTCAAAAAAATATTCCGTTATCCGCACACGCACAGATAAATCAAATGTTATATGAAACGAAACTGTACTTATTGGGAAACGATACCAAATGCCGATTATATTTATATAAAAGTCAATCAAATAAAATGCAATCCAACAATAAGACAGCCCTCATTAGCGATCAAAGGGAATGTTCAAATGAAATGCGCAATTAAAACAATAAATTTAGACTTCCTTCGCGTTTAAAAACTTATGAACGAGATTAGAAAATCCTCAAACATCGATCTATGTATTTGTAAAAATGGTTAGAAAAAAAATCACTTCGAAAGTTATAGCCCTCGCGGGTCAAGCTTCAACATTGGTCCATATGAATAAAAGTGTCATACATATAAAACAATATAAATTGAAGGAAGCATAAACATTTATATAATAGATTAGAAAAATGTAAAAAATTAACAACTAACAACTCTTTAATGCTCGATTATTAATATAGTTGCATAAGAGGCTATGTTCATAGAATTTATATAATCATGCAAAAATCTTTTGATTCAAAAACTAAATCTACCTTCTATAGCTGTAGTCTTTTCATCATCATCAACGTTGATGAAAAAAAAATCCTATTTTATGCGTAATATAATTTCATTTTCAATATAAGATCTCATAAATAGTGTTACTATGTTATTATATTTTCTGAGAAGAACAACATTCCACTATATGTAATCTATATAAAAGTTACTCGTACATCAAAAGCATATATTTCTGATACAAAACTCCGATTACTATCTTAATGCTTTATGTTACATTATTAAAAATATTAATGTCTATAAAAAAATCTATTTTCTTATATGTTTGTCAACTCGTTAGTTCTTCAATATGCTTTGGTGTATAGGTTCCATTGCCGCATCTTTAGTTAATATTTAAAAGCTAAATTCTATTACAATAATAACAACTTTCATATTTCAGTTACACATTTTAAGTTAATCGTCAAAAATATAGAATAAAAATGTTCACTTTTATATAGATTCTATTTATATAACTGTTTGTATTGATCTAAAGAAAAGGGGGCCTTGAAAATTGTCAAGTAAAAATATATGTTTTTTTCCTTCCGTTTCGATATTTCCATTCGACTTTAGCTACTGTTCTTTTTTTAAGTAAGTGATAATTATTTTTTTTATATTGGCAACCCTTTTCGATATATCATAGTTTTCAAAAATTCTCGCTTGACGTTATTTTAATATTAAAGATGACAGTGGCAGTTCTTTGAGGATTTTATACCTGACCGTCGATATAATTTATAAATTTACCAGAATAAGTCTCGCTGTTTCACTAACGTTAAATACACTATATATTATTATCAACCAATATTATATCTTAATGTACTCCATATATAAAAATACAAGAAAAGATTTAGCATTTATCATAGCTCAGAATAATTTTAAACTTTTTTGAGAATAAATATGAGTAGAGAGCGAACTATCAAAAGGGAAGCCCGTCGACTGCGACATCGATAAGCCGATTTAATTAAAATAGATCGAGTCATAGTATGTGACACTTTGAAATATACGCGACTCTGAAATACGTTACAACTTCAGAATAAAACGTAACTTACAATATAATGCTTAGGTTTCAAAAAATTGATTAATTCTACGGAAATATAGCGGCTGTGGGTGTAGTCGACGGGACTCCGACACACAAAACAATCACATCACACAAGCTTTCTCACTGATGGTGCTGTTGGAGCGGCATCTGACAGTAGGGGCATTCCTTAGCGGTGGCTGCACAACCATCACACAGAACATAATGATTGCAGGGCGCCAGAGTCACGCTGCGCGGCTGTTCCTCGCAGACCATACATTTGGTGGCAGTCTCTAGGTACAGAACCTTCTCTATCTCCTCCAGCTCGCTCCTAGCTTGCGCCTGAAGCGATTTAAGAGCTGTCAGCGGCATCCCACGCAGTTCTCGTCGCGGAGCACGCGCCGCTTCAAGTTCACGCTTGAGGGCCAACGCGTGGGCCAGGGCTTCATCACGCTGTCGCTCCGCTATGACCGCTTTACGTTTAGCCTCCTCCGAGTCCCGCTGCCAGGCCTCGCACGCTGAACGTGCCTGCGCTATACGTTCGTCCCACCTCGCGGCTGCGGCACGTGAAGTAGCCACTTCCTCCCTCAGCCGGGACAGCTCGCCCGGCGCTGATGGAGAGGTCGCACCAAATTCGAACGGCCCCGCGCCGCCTGCACCGAAACTACCAGCTTTTATTGCGTGCGAATTGAACAGACGCTCGGTGTCATTGGTTGCGTAGCGCAGGAACGGCGGCAGAGGCGAGCTGGTCGGCGGCGGACTGAACCCGCGGAGAGCGGGCCGCGGCTGAGGGATGTTCACTGGCGCCGAGCCCACGAGCAGCCCTTCACCGTCAGACAAGTCGCGATCGAGGGACGCAGCGAAGTTCAGAGGATCATCGAGATGTAGGTCGTCCAGAGCGTTACCGACTACTTCAAAAACTGTTGGATTTGGTTCGAAAGCAGCCCGCGGCGGCCATGACGGCTGCGGTTTATCGTGGTCTACTAGCGACGACGCCATGGGCAGAAGTGTACGAACAGGAGCCCGGCCGGCGCTGGACCCGCCTGATGATGTAGACGCACATTCTGAACCATCCCCCGAGCCGTTAACATGTGCGGTCACAGGCGAGTGAGGTCTTAACCCACCGAGGACTCCTACATCGTTCTTCTTATCTGACGGCAACGCGGATGATAAAAGATCCGCCAGATTTGTTCCACAATCTAAAGGAGCTGTTAGATCGCGAGCTCCACCCAGGTCTTCAGCTGTAGATAGAATAAAAACTTGTAAAGACAATATTCTATTATAGAATTAAAACTAAAGTATATAATAATACTTACGTTCAACATGTGCAAATGCACAAAATAATCCCCTAGGACAGTAGCCAGCTTGTTGTACGTCATTGCATTTTGTTGATTTGTATATTTCAGGATGGAACTGTTGTTCAGTGCGTGTATGACAGTACCCACAAGCATCACCCGCTTCACAATTGCTAGGCTCGCCCCATTCCTCACCATGTTTCACATTTGGGCATGGTGTGCTACGATATTTATATTTTCTTGGTGATCTACGCTTATCCTACAAGCAGAAACATAAAATGACATTCTCTATTGTACTTTAATCATTTTTATAAATATTGTAATTATTATAAATAAACAAAATATTCTCACCTTACTATTGTGATATTGAGGGCATGCATAACCCTGTCTACATAATCTAGGAGGTCTCTTACAAGGTTCCGTTTTATATGAAGATAGTACATAATTTGTATCTGTAATGAGGAAAAATATTTAATTCCTTCATCCTATTAATATTATAATTGCGAAAGTTTGTGAGTGTGTGTATGTTTGTTAATTCTTTACGCTCAAACGGCTGAACGTATTTTAATAAAATTTTGTATGCAGGAAGCTGACGCCCAGGAATAACACATAGGCTACTTTACATCCCGGAAATCCGCGGGTTACACCGCGGGGCGCAGCTAGTTATATACAGGGTGACTGGTGAATTACTATCGATATTTGAGGACGTGATATTTGACGATCATATATGACAAAATAAAAATTAATATAACATAAATATTAATAAACTTCTAAGTAAAGTTAACCAAAAGTTATGTTATCAATTACGCATCGTGTGAACACCCTACAGATTAGGTATACACACACACACGTGCGTTGGCGTAGTGTTGTATCAGCACGCCGCCGCACGCGTCCACACTTGGAACACTTGGAACGTGTACACACTTTATTTATTTACATATACGGAAATTTGGTCAAAAATTAAGTACCTATTTTTTTTACATAATTCGAATGAGAATCATGTACCGAGTATGCTCCTTAAATATTGATAGTAATTCACCAGTCACCCTGTATAATGGACAAAAATAACATGTAAAGGTGATAATTATTTATCTTCTCCTACCTGGCAATTTCCCAGCTATAGCCAGGGTCTGCCTTACATGTTGTGAATAGTTTTTGGCTATTTGTTTTTACGACCGGCCGCCTGCCTGACATCAACCCTCTTTTGGGAATCAACATTAATCAGTGATGTCTAAATACACTTAGAAAGTACATATGATTCGGAAAAATCACATTGGTACTTGCCCAGGTCAGGATCGAACCCGCGCCCTCGGCGACGAGAGGCGGGCCCTTTAACCACTGAGCCACCACTGACTATAATTATTTATATATTAACTAAAACATAAGAATTTTACATATGTGTCTCTAACCTTGCCATTTTGGATCTTCATTCATTAGATTTCTTTCTCTATCTAATGCATTCGGTGCAGCAGCATCTCCGTCTAAGCCGTCGGGATTTTCCAAAGCTTGGAGCTCCCTCATGTCTAATACTGGAGGTCGGAGGTCTGGGGCTCCGTGTGCGAATGCACAGTGCGCACCATTCTTAGTACAGAGACCCCTAGTGTCAGTATCATGTACGCACATACATGTTTTGTAGTAACGTAGGTGATATCTACGTTCTGTGTCCCCTGCTGTTCGATGCAAGTACGGACATCTATAAAATAAATCAACATACCATTGAAATCTCTTTTAATTATGACATTAGAATGATTTAATTAACATTGATATAATATAACTTTTAAAATAATTATAGTGTGTTTTGAGTAGTTACATTATTTTTAACAATAGAGAATTACAACTAATTACTTTCACATGCATTTTTAAAATATATAATTAAAAAATAAACAACTATTCAATTGAAACAAAGTCAAAATACATTTTTAAAAAATGGCATTCAAATTATAATTATCCTTTTAGGAAAATTGTCTAAATAGCCAATACAAGCAAACAAAAATTTAAATGTGTGTTTTGAAGAAGAAAATAATGTGTTTTCTAATTAGTTCATATAGAAATAAAAATTAAGAAATATAACAAAGGATTTTAGTAGTTTAAATACATAGTGGACTGTGCAGTAGGAAAGTAGTGATAAATATCATTTTTATTTAAATAATTACTTAATATGTTGATCATTTCATATTTAAAGCTTTTACTTATATGATATATATAATGTTTTTAATTTAATAAATGATACTTTATTATCATACAAAGTTAACACAAATTTTACATTAATAACTTAACATCTGTTCAAAATAAATGCATTATAACAATTTCCAAAACTGAGAGAACAAAGCCTATACACGAAAACTTTTAGTAAGACAACAAAGCACAACAAAGTACTCACTCGTCACCATCTTCGCAGATTCCCGATGTCTCGTTATATTTGGTACAATAGTTATCGGCGCTATAATTAAACGATCCATCTCTTTTACGTACTGGCCGTCTTCTTCTCTGATTATTAAAATGCCAGTGAAAACATGTGAAGGGTCTATGTTGTGTACATTTATGTTGTAGAAATGACGGGCACTGCTCTACTCTGAATTCCTTTAGATATCTGCGAAACCAAGACGTCGGCATTAACAAATTGCACAATACTGCAACCGGCACTTTTACGACTTCACTTTTTTCAGTATAATATTATTCTAAAAGCATAATTACTTATAATGATTTGGTTTTTCTGTTTGGGCTGTCAACAAAGGCTTAGATTCCGACGGCATCTTGGTGAACTATTATTGCGCCTCTCGCGTCGCGCAGGGCACGCTCACCAATGACCAATTAAAATTCAATATAAGATCACGTGATACAAAATATTGTCACAATGTTAAAAAGTAAATAAAAGACGTGAAATAATTAAATTCTTTCATTACATATAATACTTTACACATTCAAGTAACCTTGAACTTAAAATAACTTATCTCTTTTTACACATCCAACCAACCAACAAAAAAATGTTTTAAGTAATCATTTTTGACAGAAGTGTCACGTCGTATGTTTTCTATTTGTCTCACCCACACGTATGATAAACACTTGGTTAAAAATGAAAGAAAAAATGGGTCGGTTTTTTTATAAAGCATATATAGAGATATATTTGAAAAATAAGTCTTTCTGAAAAAATGTATCACTTATTGATATAAACTATGGGCTTATAATATTTTAATTATAGTAAAAAATAATAGAAATCAAAAGAATTAAGTAAGCTAGGTACAACTATAAAATAATTAAATATAGTTTTAACTCCAATTTCTCAACCAAAGATTTATTTTTTATGTATTCATATTCAAAGAGAGATAACTGGAAATATATTCTTACATAATTAAAATTAGTAAAATATAGAATTACAGTATTCAGAATATTTGTTGTATTAAAAAAATAATCATAGTTTTTTTTTACTGACAATACTGGATTTACTAGGCAACCAATAGCTGTACAGAATCTGAAAAAACAAAAGATGTAAGCCAATAGAAATGGCTTCTTTTACACCAATAGCGCACTTAGTATGTGATTGGGGTTAACCAATCCAGTTGTTGTACGAAGGCGTCACTGCTCGCCCGCCGTTCTCTTACCGCCATCTTGAAAGTGGTCTGCAGCATATGATCATTGTTGTGTGCTCTTAAAATATCGTTTTTAGTTCTAAAATATCAGTTTTAGTCTCAAAATAAGTGTATTTTTAACAAAATTGTTACAAGGTGCGTATTGAAAGTATAGATTTCATTGTGGTTCCCTTCTAATGTAAATATATTAAATACTTTAAAGTTTCGCAACAGTGGCGTATACTTGTTTATTGTTTGCTTTATATTGATTTTGCATTTTTAGTGAACAATGGCTCGTACGAAGCAGACAGCTCGTAAATCTACGGGAGGTAAAGCTCCCCGTAAACAGCTTGCCACAAAAGCGGCGCGTAAATCAGCTCCCAGTACTGGTGGAGTGAAAAAACCACATCGTTATCGCCCTGGTACTGTGGCTCTTCGAGAAATTCGTCGTTACCAGAAGTCCACTGAATTGCTGATTCGTAAACTGCCGTTCCAGCGTCTCGTAAGAGAAATAGCTCAGGATTTCAAAACTGACCTTCGTTTCCAATCTGCTGCCATCGGTGCATTGCAGGTGGGCTTTTTTTCATTTATAGATATCTGCATACTTATTATGTGCCTTTTATAACTTTATATGATAAATCATTCAAACATTGTCTTATTTCATTTTTAGGAAGCCAGCGAAGCCTACCTGGTAGGTCTCTTTGAAGACACCAATTTATGCGCCATCCACGCCAAGCGTGTAACCATCATGCCTAAAGACATCCAACTGGCCAGACGGATTCGTGGGGAGCGAGCATAAATAATTTACTTTAGGTTACTTTATCTTAAATTATTTGTAATTCAAATAGACATAATTTCTTATCATCATTTTGATTAATGTCTCTATTAATTCATCTTATTTTATCTTAATCATATATAATTGTAAGGAGGCAGCAGAACTGAATTTTTTATGGATATGTTCTTATTCTGTAAGTTTGTCTATGTCGTGTACGAGATGTAACTAGCTCTGCTAGATCTTCCACCTTTGTATTTGTCAATGTTAAATGGAGTTTCTTTTTTATCTTTGATTTCAACATAGCATGTCTTAGTGACTCGTGGTGTGTCTAGGTAGTTAAATAGGCAATAACAGTACCACATTTTGATTAAACCTGTGTTTGGAGTAAGTTAATGCATTAGCAATGTGTAATGATACTTTGGTGTTAATAAATATAATAGGATCCCACAAGTTTGTTTATTATTTCCTTTGAATTCCATTATAATAATTTTGCTTTAAATATTAATTGAATATTAAATAACTATTAACAAATACATTATAAGAGTGGTTTTACCTCATTAAGAATGAATCATTATGTTGTGTACATACAATTATTAGATTATGTAATTCAAATACTACAACACAAAAACTCACTTTAGCATCTGCCTTTTATCCAATTACCCTCAGTAATGTTTTATTTACGCAAAGGATATAACATGGAAATAATAGGAGTCCACTAAATATCTTTCTATATTAAATAATCTAAAGCAAATAAGTGAAACATTAAACCAATCAAATAACTTTATTTAAATACATCACTAATATGAAACAGTAGATCTTACATTCTATGCGGCTTGAGCTTCCTCAAGTTCAATTTCCCTAAGTCTTCTCTCAATATCTTCTACACTTTTACCATTCTCTTTATTGAATCTGTAACTTTGTAATAATTGCTCCTTCTCCAATCCTTTTATTCGATCATACAGTGTTTTTGTGAACTCCAAATCAACATCGTTCTCTTCGCGGAGAACACAAAAATATATAAGAAAAGCAGCGACACTGCCAACTACGCTGTAAGGTTGGTACCATGGCATAGCATCCTTCTTTTTCTGATAAACTGGTACAGCTAGTTTTCTTTTTGCAGCCTGACTCGTTGAAAATTTTATGGGTTCATTTTCCTTAGCACTATCACTGAAATACCTTTTCCATTTATTAAGATTACTGGGTCTCCTGTTAACAATAAAAATGATCTCATCATACCATTTCAGCAAGAAAAAGCATATCTGTACTAAAATATGAATTATATTTTTATTAGCTGTCTTTGGCTATCTTTAAAGTATTGATTTCTATCAGCATAATAAATTATAGTAATATTTTTTTTTAACGATTTCCATCAGAGCAAGTACGAAATAAATATATCAATAATATTATAACCAAAACCACCATATTTAAAATTTCTCTATGTAAAAATGAAATTATAAAGTAATATTAAGCAATATTATGTGACATCATTTATAACCTATCTATGAATTGGATTAGCACAATTAGTCATCTTACCTAAGTACCAGTAGCACTCGACTCATTGTTTAATATTATCCTTTAAATTATTTATAATTATTCACTAAAATTTATTATTTATTAGAATCATGTCACGATTTGTTACAGCTGACTTTGACATATGTTATTATGTCAATAATATCATACTAAAGTCTCGAATTATCTAATACTTTGCAACAGTTAAAATAGTGAATTTTATGAATGATATTTTTAGTAATCTAGTATAAATATATTACTGAATGGAACTAATTATACTATTTCGAATTTAATAATCCTGTTACATTATATAAATATATTGTACTTAAAGAAATTGTTCCATTCTTCCTTTTCCGGTAAATAAACGGAAACTGGGGCAGGAAGCTAAATTACTGAAGGTAATAGTTTTATAAGATAAATTGGTATGTTCATAAAGTAATTTTAGATATTGATCTTTTAAGAAACTAAATATATGTAGAATATATTAAGTATTTTTTGTGTGCCTGTGTATTAGTAGAACTAATAATTGAAAAGAGCTCTTTAATGTATGTACATATAATAATTAATTTTTATTTTGTGTGGTAAATTCATAATATTAATATATCTGCCGTCGTAAATAATTTAAACATTATTTTTATAAAAGTAATTATTTATTTCATAAATAAAAGGCTATTTTTCATGGGTGGCTATTATATAGGGCATGATATGTTAAACCAAGTGTCGCTATTGTTTTTCTGAAATTATAAAAAAAACTTTAGTTGAATTAAATTATTATTTTGATATGGATTCTGTTGATAGCACAATTGAAAAAATAAAAAATGACGAAGTTAACAAAGAGCGGTTACTTAAAGAGAAACGAGAATGTAAGTAACAATCTTTTATGAAATTCAATTCAATACAAAAACGTACATTAACTTTATACAATGACCCTATTCTTATCCTCAGTAGAAGCAACAAGAGCTTCTATAAATAAATCTATTCGTGATACTGTATCTCTAACGGAAAAGTCAACTCTCCAGCAATTGGAACTAACTAGGTCTATTGAGAAACTACGGAAACAGTTACAGATAGAAAAAATTCGCCAAAAAAGTATGACCACACTATTAAATACGTCCCTTAAAGAATTAGAAGACTTGCGTCACAAATCTGTAAATATATTTTTAAACGAATCTTTAAATTTACTATAAAATTATACCCAGAAAGTTAAACATAATGTGTACAAATATTTACAGAATGTAGGTATTTCCAATGTATGGGATCTACGCTCTTCCTTATGCATCGAAACTTACTCGACATTTAGTAGCTATGATATTTGGGCTCTACTTAAAAAACCGACACCTACAGATCCTCCGATTTTACGAACGAATAATTCATTTAATGAGAGTATTATTACTGATACTGAAAACAGAATAAAGGCGGCAAATGAAAGGCGTTTAAAAGCAATGGCGGAGCGCGATAGACTGTTACTTGAGCCAGAAAATGGCGTCGAGTTTTTGAGGTTGATTAATATTTTATATTTTTTTAATACTGTTATCGTTTTAGTATTTATATCGATAAGTTCATTTATGTTATTTACCGTTGTTGTAATAACAATTTGTCATTTAGTTATTATTTACAGGATAAAAAATGCATTAAAATATTCATTAGAAAGAATAACGGACTTAAAGAAATGAGAGACCACTTATTTTGAAGAAAGAAGTACATATATTATTATTCCTTTAATTCCACAGGTTACACTTGTAATAAAACATTTAGCCAATAAAAATTTATGTGTTAATTGATTATTATAAAACAGGTCAAAAAAATATTCTTAATATTGATTGGAAAAAATACCTTACAAGTTCTACTCATAATTATAAGAAAGGAATGCGATTTAATCCCATTTCTATCTATCCTCCGATCAAAAATTATTAATAGATTTTAAAAACATGCTGCTGATTGACAAAAAAATATTGTTTCTATTTGCAAATTGCAACAGAATAGCAACAATTATGTTAATATAAAATATGTTCCATCCGAATATAATACATAGGAACTGATTAATTATTAGATATAAGAAAGATAAAAAGAAAAGTATCTATAGTAATCATAATAATATTCATTTAATTATCATTGATCTTCAAACCGTGTAGTACAGGAATTGTCATTAAACAATGTCGCAATGGCGGCAAAGATGAGCGTCGAATATGACACAGAGTTGAAGTATGTACTAAAGATACATTAATGTTGTTTCATAACATTTACAATGTTTCGTAGTTTCATCGTAATGTACGTGTACTGGGTGTTAGCAATGTCTCTGCTTTTGTTACCACATATAAGAAGATTAAATTTATCTTGCAAGGGATTCAAAGTATAGGTTTTGTTTATTTTTATTTATAATATAATCTCTACAACTATTTAAAGTTTAATAGCTCAAGGGGGGTCAGTAATCCAATTATGTATGAAATATTTTAAGACTTACTTTTTATTTACTACATAATAATAACTGATGCTGCATCGCGGATGACGATAACTAAAACATCATTCGAGATATATAATAAGATGTTTTTATCTTTGAAAGTTCGTTTTTTGTTGTCTCACTGTTAAAAAAATTAATTACATACGGCAAATCAATAAAGAAAAATTGTATTTTAACTAATTAAATTCTGATAATATACCATCACACCAACAGAGTCGTAGGCAAAAGCTAAAATAAAAGATATATAGCGCATGCGCGTCTAATTTGTTACCCGGGAAATACATTTTAATTTGTCAATTTTAAACACAATGGAAAAACCGGACAGTGATGGATATGTTAATATTAAATGGCCGAGTAAAACAATCCCCCACGGAGGAGTGTTTCACACAAGAGCCGTCGAAACTAATAAGTCACAGCAGGAATTTCTCAAAGGTAAGCAATAAAATGATTTGTTGTAAACGTCAGTTCATGTTAAATTAATTTCTATTCCAGTATTACTTGAGGAATCTAAACTAAGTATCGCCCAGCGTCAGAAGAACTTATATAACTTACGACAGCCAGAAATAAAAAAGGAAAAACAGCCTCGTATTCAGGAGCCTTTAATAAGACCAAGGACGTCTCGCCGAAGATCGCTTTCAGTTATACGAGAATCTGGGGCTCTAGATGTCGACGAGTATGTTTAGTAACTTTAATAATGAAATTACTTAGTTTAGAAAGGAAATTAGTACTAAAGTTAAATATTTTACGTCTTATACCCCGATTATCGAGTTGATCGTTATATATTTTTCTATCTAGAAAAGTACATAGAATACTGTATATTGTAATTAAATAGGTAAATGATTTTTAACCCACGGAATATTTAATGCAAACATCGGAAATAAATTGTTCTTTCCAGTTTTCGTCCGTTAAAACGAGGGGAGGATCGTGAGAAATTAAAAAATCTCTTGATAAATAAAATGGCATATGGAGACACAGAACAAAAACCGCCAACTCCCCCGCGACTTCCAAAACCGAAACCTGAGTTGCCAACCAAAAAGGAACAATGGAATGACTGTAAAAAAAACTTATTACTTACATATTTGTAATAAATCCTATCTCACTTCATACTAAAGTTATGACAAATTATTCTTTAAGTAATCACGCAAATACGAGAACGTGCTGAATGGCTGGCAGAAATGGAGGATTTGGGGCAAGGAGCTATACATCGTGATCTTATAAAGGATCAGATAGCTGAACGGATGCGAGCGCTTGACGCTTTAGGTATTGATAGCCAGTGCTCTTCAGCCAGATCCACTGCATCAGGGTTTAGTGTACTACCGAGTGAAAGGAGCGTACACTCTAAAACTAGTTCTGGTTCAAGTAAGTTTGATTGCTATTATAGTGCCTATAATAAGAATCCATCAAATACATGTATGTACTTCTCATATAATTTATTTATATTGTTTTCGTGTTTTTCAGAGAAAAGCATGCAACAAAAAACTTCAGATAGAAATAAAAAAAAATTGAATCAAAAAGCATTTCGAAAACAAGAGGAAAATGTTTCGGCGTATGGAAAATTATCACCGCTACAATATTCACCCAGAAGAAGAGTTTGAGAGATAAAAAAATTGTAGTTTTAATTCTAAATTTATATAATGTATATAAAATGAAGAGTATGGTGGGGACTTTAAAGAAGCTTATAAAAAGGACTCTTTTTGGACATCGTTAAGAAAAATTTTATATTCTATTTTATACAATGAGAAAAGAAAGATTTGTGAAATGCCATCAATTCATATTATAATTATAAATAAAATTTTAATCATCAATTATGACAGTTTTCAATTTTCTTGTATCATGCTCTTCAGAAATTTTTCTTTTTCTGGTTTCTTTGATTTCAGGTTTACTTTCTAAAGTTTCATACTCTCTTGGTGCCGGCCTGTCTAAATGAAATTCATAATATTTTCTAACAGGCATTTTCAATTCAAAATTAATATCGTTAATAGCTTCCATATTGGGACCTTTCTTAATGTAACTTATTGTTGAATATGCTGTGAAATGGAAGTCTTCTATTAAATAGCCTTGGGTTAGCAAAAATGCTATAACATCTTCACCTACAAGTCTGGAGAAATTTGGTTCTTTGCCTTTATGTCTGAGAGGCACTGGACCTTTTAAATACCAGGCATCAAGCAATTTTTGTGCTGTGAGTTTTGTGTCCTGCTTTTCTGCATTGCTAATAATACTATCCAGAGTCTTGCAGTGCATTTCAAGAGATATGTCTTTACTATTTACGTTAGGATTAGAACAAACATCACACATCTTATTGCAATCTGCATTTCCCCAATCTTCATCGAAATGTTCAGCAATCAGTTGCCGTCTACATAATGTTCCATTAAGACAGTATTTCACCATGCCATATAAATGATCCAAGCTCCCTGCAGAGGAAAACACCATAGTACTGACTTTGAAAACATCTTGCATTCTATACAAAGTTACACATTCTGCCCGCTGACCATCTCTTCCAGCTCTCCCACTTTCTTGATAATAATTTTCCATAGATTTACTTATTGTATGATGTATAACAAATCTTACATCAGGTTTATCAATTCCCATACCAAAAGCCACTGTCGCTACGATTGCCTGAAGGCTTTTCTCATGCCACCTAATATGTACTTTAGACCTTATATCTGCACTTAAATTTGCATGATAACAAGCTACTTTTAAATTCCTCTTCTTCAAACCCTCAGTTATCTCTTCAGAATCTTTAATACTGTTAGTGTAGATGATTCCGCTTTCCCCCCTATATCTATATTTTAAGAGCTTCTCAAGTATGGACAAGCAATCTTCCTGTGATGTAGGTTTTTCTAGTATTCTATAATATAAATTTGGTCTATTGAAAGTTGATTTAATTACTAAGCAACCGGTTATATTGAGGATCTTTTGAACATCATTTAATACATGAGATGTAGCTGTAGCTGTTAATCCTAATATAGGAACTCCGGGAAACATATTAGAGAGTATTCCTAGATACTTATAATCAGGTCTGAAGTCATGTCCCCATTGGGAACAGCAATGAACTTCATCTATAGCGATTCTCTGCAATCTACCTTCAGCATGACATTTTTGGAGGGCTGACATGAATCTCTTACTCTTTGCAAGTCTTTCAGGAGTCACATACAACAGTTTAATGTCTGTGTTTTTGTCTTTGAGAACATTGAGTGCTGCTGTAGTCTCTGCTTTAGAACTGGTGCTAGTCATAAGTTTCGCCGGTATGTTTTTATTTGTTAAGGACCGTACTTGATCTTCCATCAAAGAAACTAGAGGAGATATTACAATAGTAATCCCTGGCTTTATTAGAGCTGGCAGCTGATAGCAAAGACTTTTACCAGCGCCGGTAGGCATCACAACTAGGGCATGTTGCCGAGACAAAGTTGAATTGATAGCGCTAAGTTGTTTCGGGCGAAATTCATCAATTTTAAAAATATTATTAAGAGTATTTTTTACATCATTTGACCATTCATAAGTACTACCACCCCAGTCCACACTAGCTAAAGTATCTGATTTTAGTTTACTAATCGTTTTCTTTAAAGATGTTTTCTTTTCGTGAAGTTTGCGTTGTTCATTCTTCCACTTATTTATTTCTGTTTCCACCTTGACTAGTTGCTTATCTACATCTTTTATTTCATTTTCCAACTGTTGTATCGTTTTCATTATGGATTACAATGTTTCATTAATACAACTCGATTATTATATTTATTTTACGTACAACAACAATGAAGTTTGAACAAGAACCCAGGTTAGGAGTTTGAATGTCAAAATTTAAATATCCTTGTTAAATGGCAACACATGTTAGTACAAACAAAATATTAATGCATATTAAAAGTTAAAACTGACAAATGCTTAGTGATAGAGTTCAACACCTCGTACTTATTTCGTAAGAAATTAAGATGGAGTAAACAAAATTAAAAAGTTAGTCTTGACCAATACACATTTTGAAATATCAACATGACAGTTTTAAAAAGATCTATTATAATCGTTTCGTAATATAACTGTAATTTGTTTAAAAGGTAGTTAAAGATTTATTTTCTGGAATACGCCTTTTTAACTCTTATAAAAATGCAAAACAAACTTAAAATATATTCTTATTGTAAGGAAATGATCAGACTGCTTTATTTAGGAAGTTAGTATTATGTTATGTATTAGGAAAAGATTTATGAAATTATAAAATAATATGGAATAGGTATTAATTAGTTGGGATTTATATATTATGATTTATGTATACACTATATTGTACCCTTGTGTCTTTCTCTCGTTGGTTCATGCGTTACTAAAAGTGTTTAGTATCGTTACGCACTACAAGATAAGGCACATTAATATAACTGTGTTTACAAGTTTCCATGTACAAACGTTATGACCAAAATTGCTGTTCATACATGCAGCTGTTTTTTTAGAACCTTGTACTAATTAATTATTCTATACAATAATGTACAGGAACTCACCGAATTAAATAAGTAACAAAATTTAATATTAACCACGGTACCATGGTTTGCGACTACTCTCCTCTTCTAATTGGGTTATTCTGCTTATCTATATAAATATTGTGCCTTACTTTACCTATGCATATTAAATTGAAAAATAATAAAAATGCATTTTTACAAAAACTAAAATAAAACCAAGTTGAAATCTATTTTACATAATATAGGAAATCTATTTTACATAATAGGCTCTAGCCTACGCCATGTATATTTTTATCGATCATATTCAGTGACTGTACTGAGAAAATAAACTTATTAAAACGGATATCACCTATTACCGATAATACGGTCACGGATTTCACAATTTATTTTAGTTAAATCATGTGGTTGGTAACAGTCATATCGGTTGCATTGTATGTATTATTTTGTTTATGTACGTGCCTTTCTATTTTTTATTTATTTATTTAATATCATCATTTATAGAGTCGCTCAAACAGTCGGCTTACAAAATACAGCAGTTTTAATACTTGCTCGCGGAGGATCAAAAGGTGTCCGTTTAAAAAATATTCAAACTGTTGGCGGTATAAGTCTCGTTGGTCGCTCTATTTTAAATGCTAGAAATGCAAATTTAGAAGACATAACAGTATCAACAGATCATCCATTGATAGCTTTAGAAGCATTAAAATGTAAGTATTGGAAAATAAAGTACTATATATACTAATAATAATAAATATGTTTTATAAGTTAAACATGTACATATTTACTTAAAACAGTTATTTTGTTTAAATTTTATCACACATTTGTGGTAATAGATAACGCAAGAATCCTAAATCGAAGTTATATAACAGCAACTGATTGGGCTCCATCAATTTGGGGAGTTGAAGAATTCATAGAAACCAGACCGGACGTAACCGTTGTTGTTTTACTTCAAGTTACTTCACCATTTTTAAAAGCAAAAGATCTAAATTTAGCATTAAAGAAACTGCATTTTCCGAAAGCCTTTGATTGTATTTTTTCGGTTACAAGGTATAAATTAAAAATCGGCATAATATAATGCTTTTTTATAATTAGTAAAAATTTTGTTATACATATCTCGTTTCAGAAGTTACAAACTTCGTTGGACGTTTAAAAATGAAACTATGTATCCAGTAAATTTTAATGTACATAAACGACCCAGAAGACAAGATTGGAGTGGAGATTTTATCGAGACTGGGGCATTTTATATAGCACGGAGAAAACTTATTGAAAGTGGATACTTACAAAACAATAAGTAGGATATATTGTATATACTGTAGTATTTTAGTATTCTGTTATTAAAAAAATAAGCTAATTAATATCATAATGAAAATTATATTGCAATTTTCAAAACTGTCTCCGATATTGTCATATGTTTAAACACATATATGAATATTCATATACATATTGGTGTAGTATGTTGTTTCCGGACGAACGTGGCATCTGCCAAATGCCAATCGTGTTGTCCTTGGAAAATGGGAAACTTACCGCAGCTATGAGTAAAAACAATAAACTGTGTAGTGGAAATTTAATTAACTATCGATTTTTTTTATAATGTAAAGAGTTAATTTGATATTAAATATTTGCTGTGTTATTTAAGTTATTAATACCCTTTAAAATTCCTAGTATTAAATTTTAATAACATTTATTCCATGAAGTTGTTCTGCTTGGGAAGTATCTCAGGTCGAAAGTTTAGAAGTTGATAGTTACTACGACATGCGTTTGGCAAATCTAATAATCTCCAATAACTTGAATTAAACTATTTTGTTGTAAAAGGTGAGCACTAAATTAGAATTTTTTAATTATTTTATTCAACTTTAATGGACTTGTAATTTGTGTAATAAAAACTTTATTTCAGTAACAATGAGAACAGTAATAGAGGAAGTAACATATGAGGATTTGGAGAATACAGATGTTATAAGTGTCGAATTAGTTCCGGAGAGGAAAGGTTTAATTTTAAAACATTGTGAATATTATGTAAGTTCACGGCGACATGGAACAACTGTTACAAGAAGATATAATGAATTTGCACAACTTTATGACGTTCTACACGCTAAATATCCATACAGGTAATATATATCTCATATAACATAAACTTTTACAAACGTTTTTAAGGCTATCTTACAGCTTAGTACTTTATAGTTATATTATTTGTGTGTCCCATATAGTTAAAAGATAATTTTGACAATATTTTTATTTAAAATAAGTGTTACTTAATTTGAAAAAAGATTTTCTATAGTAATATATGGAAACATTTTATAAAATATCTGTTATTACATAATAAGTCAATTTTCTTAGCAATTTTTTTTTATTAATACCAATATTAAACATTTGTCAATAAGCAAAGAAAATCAGTTACTTTTTTTGGCCATTAACAAGACTTATAAGAAGCTTTTCTTTATTAATATTTAGTACAGAATATATCATATTGTTTTACATGAAGTTCAAACCACTTCCCTTGTAGATAAGAATCGTTAAGAATTATTAACTTCATATAATAATGACAAATCATTAATGAGTTATTTACAGTCAAAATATAAAATTTAAATAAATAAAGAATTAAATGGTAATTACTATCAAAGTATATATTAGATAATTTATAATCAGAACATTGTTATTTGTAATTTTATATTGCTGTATCATATGGAAATGACAAATTGATAAATTTTGTGGTATATAAATAAACTTATTTATTTGATACTTAATATTAAAAGTTATATATGTATATAGACAACATATTATTTTATTACATTACTAGCTTTCCGCCCGCAGCTTCGCCGCGTGGAGTTCGGTTATATCGCGTTTCCAAGAGAACCTTTCAAAAGTCTGGGATAAAAACTATCCTATGTTCTTTCTCAAGGTCAACTCTATCTCTGTATCGAATTTCATTAAAATCAGTTCAGTGGTTTAGGCGTGAAAGCGTAGCAGACAGACAGACAGACAGACAGACAGACAGACAGAGTTACTTTCGCATTTATAATATTAGTAGGGATTCAAATTTTCATGTGAATAACACGTTTTCATGAAATTCTAAAGTAAAAAATGTAATATTTAGACTTGAATTTTCTTCATTATTATGTCATTACCCTCAAGACCACGGCATAACTGTTGTATGGTGCTTGAAATGAATTGAAATAGACAATAGGCATAGCTTGAATTTAATTACCATGTGTTTTGTTTTAATATGTTTTATACATTTCTCTTTGAGTCTAACCTAGATGTTCATTCGAAGATGTCGCAGGTAATATCTAGTTTACTATAAATATGAGTTTAAATTCTTAGAGTTTTGTAAATAAGTTTTACCTTTATTCAATTTTTTTTTGTGTGTATAGTAAAATTCGTGGTTAATTTGGTTGGTTATTTTATGGATGTTATTATTTTTAGTACTATTATATCAATACGATTTATTTAAACATTGTTAGATGAAAACTTAATAGAAGATAACAAATAAAGAAATTAAGAGAAAGTAAATAAATAAATTTTGTTATCTTTAATTTAATGTTATTTATACACCAAATTAATATAAAACTATGATAAATAAATAAATATTATCTAATACTTAGTGAAATTTCAATGGTAACTATGTTCATTTTGTTTCTTTGTAAATGAGACTGCATTGATTAATTTTAAATTAATGTCCTATGTCATAACAGAAAAGTACAAAATATATACAAACTTTTTGAATACCAAACCTTCATGACGTTGTTTACCGCCAAAATGTATAGCGTATATAAAAGCGCTTTTCTAGCAGCTCCACATGTGACAACAAAAAATATATGTATATACATTCAAATATCGACTTTATTTTTAAACTTCCAGAGCAGTATGTTGTTTACCGCCAAAAAGGGTAGTGGTTGGTGGTGGTAGTCCGTTATTTCTACAGCGACGTCGTGCAGCGCTTCAGCGCTGGCTGAGCATAGTGGCGCGACACCCGGTGTTGGCTCATGACGCTGATGTAAGGACTTTTCTCTGCGAAATATCCAGTAAACTTGATAAACCCAAACACGATGAGTTTGTACTGGCCGGGACTCAAGAAAATAGTGCGGTAAGATGAACTCATACATAGAATGTTGTTTTACTTTATAGATTTGAATGTGTTTTTTAGAAGGGATTATTATGTTAAAAATCTTCAGCACTATCTTATTTATGATTTTATACATGGAAATATTACGTATATAATAAATAATTCAAAAGGCATTAAACTGGCCAGTAGTAATAAATTCTCTTTTCGATTCAACTGTATAACATAGTTTGTTTAAATTTTAAAATATAGTAATAGGAATAATAAAATTCAACTTTTCACTATTGATAATTCCTAAACCTAGATCAGTAGTCCCCAAACTTATTTTTCTCGTGGACCACTTTCAAAATTTTACTGGTTTCGGTGGACCCCCTGCTGCTACATTTCTACCACATCCTTAAAGTCGCCAAAAAATAAAAATTGTGTCACTTCTGAGTTCTGTCTCTATATTCCGATAGGTAAAATAAAATTTTAGAAATTTTGGAAACAAATGAATGAGTGTTTGCCTTTGGCATCAAGTATTTATAGTGGTGATCAAGTTCATGTCTGAACAAGCATTAAGCATTGTCGGGCGGATAGCGCTTTGCAAGTCTGTACACGAAATTGTACGTAATATCGAATACGCAAGTTTGGACAAGTAACAGTCGCTTGCCTTATTAAAATATTATCTGCTTAGTTAGGTACTTAAAACAATGTAGGTAGGCCCTTATAAAAACTATGCTTACATTTTTGCTCTTTACTATCAATCAAAAGCAGATAAATTTTCGTGGACCCCCATTTTTTGTTCACGCCTACGTAAGGGATAAGGGTCACTGAGGCTCCGAACATAGAAAAGATGGCAAGCAGCTATCTTCCCATTCGCTGTTTTCGATCGCTTTCTATCGCTGTTTTTTGTAATGTTACAAACTGGAATTTAAAAGGAGTTTAAGTACTGAATGTGTAATGCGGCCTCCATCGAGCACCGTCGCCGCAATCCCAAGGGAGCTACGGCAACAGCTATTCCTTTGTCTTTTCGGATTTGGGCTAAAAGTAAATTTATTGAATAGTTTTCCTTTAATTTATTGAATAACCTCCTGGCGCATCTAAGAAAAACAATCCACCCTCACCATTATCGATTCTTTGCACAACAATATCATAAACTAATTTTTGTTCCGTGTTCAATCGAGGAACAGACTCTGATATTTGTTGCTGTAAAGAAGAGACATTGTAGTTCAGTTCTCTTATTAAAACACTATTGACTTCTCCGATTCCTTGTGGCCGGTTCATTCCAAAATCTGATAATGTCTTCCCAGATATAGTCATCACTTGGTCTTGAATCTTAGTTAGCGCCTCGTTATAAACTAAATCATAATATGTGACATTGGGATTATTTTGTTGTAGTCTGTTCAAAATATAGTCAGACATATCATTTTGGGACTTTTCCCATAATATCTGAGGATTTGAGAGACCACACGTCGCTATGAGAATGGCAAAAGATCTCTCACCTTAGCTGCTGATCTACAATGTCGAGCCTCTTCTAGTGTCGAGTCCCAATGATTATTTATCATTCTCTAACTTTCATTATTATCGTTAATAAATTAATCAACTGTTAGTAAATTCACTGTTAATAAATTAATCAACTGTTAGTAAATTCACTGTTAATAAATTAATCAACTGTTAATAAATTAATCCACTGTTAGTAAATCCACTATTAATAAATTAATCAACTGTTAATAAATTAATCCACTGTTAATAAATTAATCAACTGTTAATAAATTAATCAATTGTTAATAAATTAATCAACTGTTAGTAAATCCACTGTTAATAAATTAATAAATTAATCAACTGTTAGTAAATCCACTGTTAATAAATTAATCCACTGTTAATAAATTAATCAACTGTAAGTAAATCCACTGTTAATAAATTAATCAACTGTTAATAAATTAATCCACTGTTAATAAATTAATCCTCTGTTAATAAATTAATCAACTGTTAATAAATTAATCAACTGTTAGTAAATCCACTGTTAATAAATTAATCAACTGTTAGTAAATCCACTGTTAATAAATTATTCAACTGTTAATAAATTAATCAACTGTAAGTAAATCCACTGTTAATAAATTAATCAACTGTAAGTAAATCCACTGTTAATAAATTAATCAACTGTTAGTAAATCCACTGTTAATAAATTAATCAACTGTTAGTAAATCCACTGTTAATAAATTAATCAACTGTTAATAAATTAATCCACTGTTAATAAATTAATCAACTGTTAATAAATTAATCCACTGTTAATAAATTAATCAACTGTTAGTAAATCCACTGTTAATAAATTAATCAACTGTTAATAAATTAGTCCACTGTTAATAAATTAATCAAACTGTTAATAAATTAATCAACTGTTAATAAATTAATCCTCTGTTAATATATTAATCAACTGTTAGTAAATCCACTGTTAATAAATTAATCAACTGTTAATAAATTAATCCACTGTTAATAAATTAATCAACTGTTAGTAAATCTACTGTTAATAAATTAATCCACTGTTAATAAATTAATCAACTGTTAATAAATTAATCCACTGTTAATAAGTTAATCCACTGTTAATAAATTAATCAACTGTTAATAAATTAATCAACTGTTAGTAAATCCACTGTTAATAAATTAATCAACTGTTAATAAATTAGTCCACTTTTAATAAATTAATCAACTGTTAATAAATTAATCCACTGTTAATAAATTAATCAACTGTTAGTAAATCCACTGTTAATAAATTAATCAACTGTTAATAAATTAATCAACTGTTAATAAATTAATCAACTGTTAATAAATTAATCCACTGTTAATAAATTAATCCACTGTTAATAAATTAATCAACTGTTAGTAAATCCACTGTTAATAAATTAATCCACTGTTAATAAATTACTCAACTGTTAATAAATAAATCCACTGTTAATAAATTAATCAACTGTTAATAAATTAATCAACTGTTAGTAAATCCACTGTTAATAAATTAATAAATTAATCAACTGTTAAAAATTAATCAACTGTTAGTAAATCCACTGTTAATAAATTAATCAACTGTTAATAAATTAATCCACTGTTAATAAATTAATCAACTGTTAATAAATTAATCCACTGTTAATAAATTAATCAACTGTTAGTAAATCCACTGTTAATAAATTAATCAACTGTTAGTAAATCCACTGTTAATAAATTAATCAACTGTTAGTAAATTAATCCACTGTTAATAAATTAATCAACTGTTAGTAAATCCACTGTTAATAAATTAATCATCTGTTAATAAATTAAACCACTGTTAGTAAATTAATCAACTGTTAGTAAATCCAATGTTAATAAATTAATCAACTGTTAATAAATTAATCAACTGTTAGTAAATCCACTGTTAATAAATTAATCAACTGTTAGTAAATCCACTGTTAATAAATTAATCATCTGTTAATAAATTAATCCACTGTTTACTAATAAACTAATTAAAACCTATTCACTTGTTCTTAGAAGTTAGAAAGACAAATGACAATATTTAATAATAATAAAATGGCGAAAAAATTATACGAACAGTTTACCGACCAATCAGAGAGCCCTGTTTCATTAGTTATTTGTCATATCTAATGTCGAAAAAAAAACGTTTGTAATAAAACAACTACTAATAAATTAAAAATTAATGAAAAAAACATTGTCCAGCGGACAAAATTGTGAATCTAGAGTCCTAGATCATTAATAACAACTCAAAAGAAAAGACAGAAATGTTAAATCTTGCTAATTTATTTATTTATCGATAAAAAATATGTAGAAGTATATATATATATATATATATATATATATATATATATATATATATATATATATATATATATATATATATATATATTCGTATACAAATTGTTAAGAAAAATATTTTTTTTAAAAAGAATTATTTTTTTATTTACAAGCAGGCTTAGGATATTGTAAGTATGTTCATTCTCAACTGCATCATTATCTTGTTAATGAATTTCATATATTTTTTTATTTAAATATGATATATATTTTACAGAGTGAGATGTCTACAGATGAAATGCAGGATGTGTTTTCCATGGAACAAGAACAGCTGCGTTTGGTGCACTTGGGTTTAGGGCGACTCTTTAAAATTTTCGAAAAAGGTTTGACAGTTTTTTTTATAGTCTGTGGTAATTTCTAACAATAATTGCCTGTGGTCTTTTTTCGAATTTAATTTATTTTTTACATCAATGTGCGTGTATAAATTTCAAATCAGTTTGTAATTTATATTGCAAGAAATTATATTTCTTGTAGTTTGAACATTTTCAATGTTTTTCATAAAATTTTAGCCTGTATTTATTTAATTAATGACAACGAATAGCCTTTACTAATGTCATAGAAGACTACTTCAAAATCTATACAACGTGTAACGTAATTAACGCACACCCTCAAACACCCCAATTATAATATAATAATATAAACGCAATGCATACACCAAATATTATTTATATGTGCGTTAGCATTTTTTATTTGTGAAATTAGTTATCCCAATTTCGTGCAAATAATATGGTCAGCTATTCACCAACACTCCGCTGCACACGCACACACAGACAGACACAATGTACTCGCCGCGCCCGCGCGCCCCTCTCTCTGAGTGCCGTCCGACAGTAATAAGTAGTAGGTAATAATAAGTACACGAAATAACTACATTATGATTTATGATTCTTCTTTCCATCACACTTTTCAGGCTTAAGATTGTCGACATTGAATTTTTTTTATGTGAAGCCAATATTTTATAATTACTGATTTGTTAAATTAAATTTGTAAATAAGAATTATTAAACAGCTGATAACGCGTGATTTGATTAGACACCACAATACCTACGACAAAGTCGGCCTGTTTAAATGGTGTGAATCAAAATATTAACAATAATTTAAAGATCATAAACAAACTTATAGTTTAGTCGTTTTAAAACATTTTCAAAATGTCCACCGCCTTGTTCAATGCACTTTAATAACCGTTTCCGCAATTGTGGTTTTATTTTAGATAATACTGCAGTGTCACTTTTCACTTTTACAAAGGCGGTTATTATCTTATTTTTTAGTTCCTCAAAACATGTTGTCTCTGTGTTATAAACTAGCGATTTAATTTGCCCCCACAAAAAAAAGTCGAGTGACGTCAAATCAGCTGATCTAGGAGGTCAATGGACACGTCCGTAGGTATTTGATGTGTGCCGGCTGTCGCTGTGCGTGCGTAGATATTTGTTAAATACTATTTTAGCCTTGAAATAAGTATCAGTTTTCTTTAATTGAATGATGATTACTAATTTAATATTTCATTTTAAAAATCTTAATACTCTGACTCACGATCCATTTTCGTTTCTATGAAGTGTTTAGATAACTGTGTGTAGGATGACTGTAATTGACTTAGTTTGAGATTTGAGAAAAGAAATGACCTACATAAAAAACTATAAAAATCGATCCAGATACCGATTCTGAACAAAGTACTTTCAGGGTGTGCGTTAATTATGTTACACGTTGTATATGTATAAGATATAACTTTATGTATGTATAAGTATATACAGGGTGACTGGTGAATTACTATCGATATTTGAGGACGTGATATTTGACGATCATATATGACAAAATAAAAATTAATATAACATAAATATTAATAAACTACTAAGTAAAGTTAACCAAAAGTTATGTAATTAATTACGCATCGTGTGAGCACCCTACAGATTAGGTATACACTCACACTCACACATACGCATGTCGTGACGTGGTGTTGTATCAACACGTCGCCGCACGCGTCCACACTGGGAACACTTGGAACGTGTCAACACTTTATTTATTTATACGGAAATTTTGTCAAAAATTAAGTGCCTATTTTTTTACATAATTCGAATGAGAATCATGTACCGAGTATTCTCCTTAAATATTGATAGTAATTCACCAGTCACCCTGTATATATGTTTTCAGTTGAGAGTCGTTGTGAAACTGAACGTGCAGACATCCGTGAGCTGGGGGCGGCGCTTAGTGCTCTCTCAACACCAGCTAATATAGACACCGAGCGATGGACACACATGAGGGACTCTTTGAAAGCTGCTGCTGAGTAAATTATTATATATATTACATACCTATATGATACTAGCTTTCTTTCCGCCCGCAGCTTCGCCCGCGTGGAGTTCGGTTATATGGCGTTTCCAAGAGAACCTTTCAAATGTCTGGGATAAAAACTATCCTATGTTCTTTCTCAAGGTCAACTCTATGTAACAAATTTCATTAAAATCAGTTCAGTGGTTTAGGCGTGAAAGCGTATCAGACAGAGTTACTTTCGCATTTATAATATTAGTAGGGATATATATTTATGCATACCGCCAATTACATTAAAGTGTATTTTTTTACAATATTATAGGATTTAAATGAAACTAATATTTTTAGATTACTTCGTGTATTTCATTATTTTTAACAAAACCTCCGAAACGTAGAATGTAGATACTATACTGTACGATCGGTTTACTTTGCAGTACCCAAAAACTTAAGTACAGAATGACATTCTCATCTCGTCTGCACGTTATCAATGTTGCTGCAAAGTAACCGAAACAGCGAGAATAAGTATATTTAAAGATTATAAAATACACTAAGTAATTCAAAAATATTAGTGTCATTCAAATTATTACCCAAGAAAATCTTAGGTCTCATTATGTTGTATGATACCCAATGATTAAGTGTTTATCAAAAAACATGTCAATATTTTCTCTTTTTGACTTTATGTATGTACCAACATGACGACACTAATCCAATTTCAGGTTAGCAACAGAGATGGTTGAAGCTGATATATACGAGGACGATGCTATGGAGCGTATGTTGGTGTCCCTGGACTGTCTGACCGCGTACCGGTCACTCTGCTCGCGGCTGTCCCGCGGGCTGCACGCGGAGCGCGCTGCAGCTGCAGCCAGCGCTGTACACTCACCAGCCTCTAGTTTACTTAGAGCTAGACATCGGTACGCGCTGAAGTGCGCTTTGGAGGTCAGAGGAAAAAACATTGTTACTTACAATATATACAGCCTCTCTCGAGGAAATTCAAGGATAGCAATAATTTAGAGGTCGTGGTCATCGACATATACTAATGGACATGCCGTACGCGTATTCTAATGTGGTTAATGTGGGTTTGAAAAGAAACGTCTTTGCAGTTTTAAGTCGTATTTAATAAAATTAGAAGATTTAACATAACATAAAGAAAGCTTGGGCCAATGGGCGGTCCGCCATATTTGGATGGATACATGAGATGTTTTATAAAGGAGACTTTACACTAGACTTAATTCTATAATATAGCATACACACTATATTTATTACACTTCAGTATAATTTGCAGTAATTTTTTGGTTTGAAAAGAGTGAGAGATATGGCCTATGTTTTCGGTCTAGCACTATCTCTTTCCTCATAGATGATTCTTGTATATTCGAGTAATGTGTTACATTTGAGAGAGATAAAGATAGACCGAAACTTCGTTTCCTCTCTTTCTTTCGGAGTGCCACAATTCTCATCCCTAAGGCATGTCCATTAGTATATGTCAATGGTCGTGATGGCCTAGAGGTTAAAGGCCCGTCTCTCATGCTCGAGGGCGCGGGTTGGAATCCTGGCGAGTATCAATATGATTTTTCAGAGTCATATGTACTCTCTAAGAATATTTAGACATCACTGACATACGGTGAAGGAAAACATCTTGAGAAAACCTAAACTTATATTTCCACAATTCTAATTTTGAAATCACCAACCTATATCTATGTACCATACAATATAGATTTCTCGAACCCGATTTCTAGCTATTACTAAAACAAAAAACCAATTTGACTAAAACAAAAGACCAATTTCTTAGAATATAGTCAAATATTTATGATTTTTATTTACAGGAAGCCCGTATATGTCGTGCGTATGCTTTATCAGCGTTGGAGTTATTACCGGAGCTGTTGAAGTCTCAGGGCGCGGCTCATGCGAGAGTTTCCAAGCTTTGGTCTGAGTTACACGACGCGTTAAGACAGACACACGGAAACACGCGACCTTGAGGATATAGCTTTTTTTGGGGAGGTGGGAGTGGGAAGTATATCTGTGACGTAACATATCTATAGATAAATGTCGCTCGTTTCGTTTTAGTTATGAAACACTGAACAGCAAGTGACGTCACCGGAACTATGGGTTATACCATCGACATATACTAATGGACATGCCGTACGCATAATCTGCAGTAATTTTTTTGGTTTGAAAAGAGTGAGAGAGATGGCCTATGCTTTCGGTCTAGCACTATCTCTTTCCTCATAGATCATTGGCGCTTGGCTCATAACGTCTTAAGTACGGTACTATATTGAGAGAAATAAAGATAGACCGAAACTTCGTTTCCTCTCTTTCTTTCGAAGTGCCACAATTTTCATCTCTAAGGCATGTCCATTAGTATAAGTCGATGGGTAATACAATGTAAATGTTGTCTCAATAAAGTTATGGAGATTTACAAGAAATTGAGTGAATCTAGCGAAGCGAGCGAAACGAACGCTATAGTGTCGACTCAAGTCACTCATAAACGGAGATGATCTTTAAACCGAACGTCCGATAGAGTCGAGTTTTTTTTGTTCGATAGTGCCCAGTTATTTTTGATAGTTTTTAAAATAAAATTAGATCGAGCCATTATTTTCAATTTAGGTTCCGGAAAACAAATTCAAGTGTAAAAAATGGTTCGGTACCGAACCGTTGAGGTCGCTTCACTCGACTTGCATCTTCTAATATTCAATAATTTACACATGACGTTTATCTTTTTTTTCCAAATATTAACTATGAAATCTCATTTAAAATAACTCTATATATTAATTAATAATTATTTTGTAAGTAAGGAATGGTATGGGTTGATGTATCTTAGTTGTAAAGAAAATATATAACATATAAATATGTATATAAAGATAAACTTTGTTAAGACATTCCATGAGAGCAGAGCTCCTAAGACGAGTTTTGTTTAGTAAACTTATACTGATAGTGTCAACGTTTGTTATAAATAACATCGTTAATATCAATTTTTATGGCTACACAAATGTTAATATTAACGAATGTCAGTTTAAGAATAAAAAACGGCTATCGCTCTGTATTAAGTGTGATGCAAACTTTTTGTAAGGTACAGATAGCAGCTGCTAAGAATTTCCAATGTTTTATATGAAGAATCTGTACATTGGATCATGCAGAACTATTTACATAATTACCCTTAATGATGGCAGTTTCAACGTTCACATATGAATAAAAAAATTCAAAACTATCTGTGTTAACGTAACGTAACGGTTAACGTAACGTAACGGTTAACGTAACGTAAGTAACGGATTCCACGCTTATATAGTTGCTTTTATTATTAAAAGTTGAATAAAGAAACTCCAATATTTTACAATCTCGATATACAATTAGCTCGAATATCAATTAAACCATAAGTAAGTAGAAACGAAGTCGTTAGTGGTGTACGCGCTATCTCAGAGTTTAAGGAAAACAAAATACTCCTACCACACTATCATCGGTAGTACAAATAATGAAAATTGGTAGCTAGAAGGTACCTATTACTTGAATATTCTTAATATACCTTTCCAAACTTATCGATACTACATTATTCCTTGCTGCGCGAAAAAGCATGACTCATTACTGAACTAAGTGGTACGCGAGTGAGCATGTTTTATCTAAGTTCTATATAGGTATAACAGAAAATAATAATTTCGTAATAAAAGTTCAATTCAATTCATATAAGATACAAAATGTCATTAGTATTTTATAGTGACGCTAACAGATGACATTATTGCTGACTTTTTTTAATATATAGGTTTTTGATAACCAAGAACGGCCACACCTACACAGATTGTCCAAAAATAATTACAATTTATTTTTAAATGATAAATATTTCCATTTGAAAATAACAGTAAATATTTTGATATTTCTCTAATGTATTATCTACTAAACTATATAAATATTACAATGTACTTAATACACAACAAAACATTCCTGGGAATTCACAAGTCAAGGGTCATTGTTTTAATGTTTAACGTCGTTTTGATAAACGCTATTATTATATTAAGAAAATCTATTTACTAGATATATAACAATAAACATTCCATATATTAATAATTAATTAATTAATCTCCTATATACTAATCTTATATACTCTATACTCGAATTTTTTGTTTACAAGTAGCTCAATTATTATTAAAATTATATTATTAAATATATACTAAAGTATACTTCAGTATCCTTACCACTAATTTGTAGTATTAAACGTAACATTGGCAGTTTGAAGTGTTTCTTTTGTATATATTGATAGTATAATATGAAAAAAGTATAATTAGAAAAACAAAACCTGTGTATTTAACTTTACTTTGTAAACTTATGGTACGGATACATATCGGTAGCTTCTCTCAAATATCTTACTCGTCTTTGTAACCATAGATAAATACTTACAAAAATATATACAATATTCTCTGAAAACATTATATGCAGGTAATAATGGTTGAAACCAAAATATGACTATACTGTGATATATATTTAAGTTGCAATATTAAAATGCAATGAATTTGTATTAATTATTATGTAATGTTTAACTCAATAAATGATATATTATTCACGTGTTAATTTATTTATTAGTTGTAAGTATTTGGTGAAATACCTTCCAAGTAGTCTTTACCCAATCTGGTTTTAGGATTGCATAGTGAAATAGGTAAGGTATAAGTAACAATTTTTATATATTTTAATTAATGTTGAACAATGATGTGTTACTACGAAGCAATGAGATAATGTTCAATCATAGTTGTATCATACTATATATTAGACTTAGCTAATACACTAAGTTTACAAACACCACCTATTGTGATATTAATCAAAACATTCGATCGGAATCAGTTTCTTTGATCAGTTGTTGAAACAGCTCGTGTACCGATGGACTTTTTAGTTTTATTGTCTTGTTTTTACGTTGTTACCGCTGTTCATGACAGCCATGAACAGATGGACTCCATCGTTGTTCATAGAAGACATACAAGTAAGAAGAAATATCGACCGATATACCATATAACATCTCCAGAAGGATGGATTAGCAACCCGACTGGGATAGCTTTCTTCAAGCGGCAGTATCACATATTCTTTCAATACCATCCTTATAATGGTGCATGGGGCCACATGAGTTGGGGTCACGTGGTCAGCAAGAATCTCATAGATTGGACCCACTATCCATCAGCGGTAATGCCGAAGGACGTGTACGACCGAAACGGCTGCTTATCCGGATCTGCACTAGTTATTAATAACTTCCTAACTCTGTTTTACACCGGTCATCTCGCCTCTTCTAACGAAGTGTTCCAAACACAAAATATAGCGACCAGTGGAGACGGGGTTATCTTTAAGAAATATATATACAATCCGATTATAAGACAGTCGCCGAATGGAGTTGGAGACTTCAGAAATCCGAAGGTGTGGAGGTTCCGTAACCTCTGGTATATGGTCGTTGGAACTTCATCGAGGGAAAGATTTGGAGAACTGCTTTTATATTCATCGACGGACATCTTTAATTGGAAACTCAATGGGACATTTGTAAAATCATACGGAGATATGGGTTATATGTGGGAGAATCCCGATTTATTTGAATTGGATGGTCAACATGTACTTATCATATCCGTTCAGGGAATAGAAGCTGATGGATTCAGGTTCAGAAATTTGTACCAGACAGGATACGTTGTGGGGACTTTCAACTATTTGAAAGGAAAGTTTGAAGATCTGGAAGTATCTATAGCGACGTTTAATCAGTTAGACTACGGTCATGACTTTTATGGAGCAAAGACATTGCTTGCAACAGACGGGCGCAGAATTTTGATCGCGTGGCTGGGAATGTGGGAGAGTGACTTCATTGAATCGACATCAGGATGGGCTAGCATGTTGACGACCATCAGAGAGGTCCGGGTAAACAAAAGGGGACGCATACTTATGACGCCTATCAGTGAAATGGAGGATTTGAGAGTGGAGATGATGGAAAACGCGTGGTATTATCCCGAAGAATCTTTTCAGGCCGGAGCGAAATCTTTTGAATTGTTAGTTAATTCGTCTTCCATGTTATTCGATACCGGAATAGTATTGGAGTGGAACTTTGGTACTTTTACGATAGGTTATTCAGCAGAACACGAGTACATAAGCATTGATCGCGGAGGGCCAGACGGAGTGAGGAGAGCATATTGGTCACCAACTAATCATATTTTTATGCGAATATTCATAGATTACAGTTCCATTGAGATATTTTGTGGCGATGGGGAAGTAGTATTTTCGAGTCGCTTCTATCCGAAATCAATGCGTATAAAAGTTATTGGAAAATCTCAACTCCACATCACTCAGTACAGATTACGACGTAGTATCGGTTACGACAAAGAACTAGTGAATCGTTTGAAAAACAGTTAGATATTATTTATGAAAATTCAAATAATGCAGGAAAAAACTTTTGTCTTTAAGAAATTATATATGCTTAAACCGTAAGGAAGTATCTCAATAATATGTAGACAAGTAAAAAAGGTATATTTTTTATTACTAATATATTAGGAGTAAAAATATGTGATTTCCTGGACAGTCTTTATCTTGGGAATCCACCTGATACGTTATATGGAGAATCAGAACAGATGTAATGGGAATCCCACCCTTCACTTTATAAAGCTTATCCTGTTAGCAAACTAGTTGTAGGAACGTGAGTAAAAGTTACCGAGAATTTAATACCTAGGGTAAAATACGTGTGCGGTTAAAATATACAGATATTATTTTTAAGTCGTTCTAGTCTATTTCTATCTTCGCTTCAAGAATTAAGAATTAATTACAATAGCACCTATGACGGATCATCGCATGAATATTTTGAGATTTATTTTTCTGTACTCCTTCTTGAGGTAATAATAAAATTAATCTCTAATAGAAATATTACTACAAAATCTTTACAAATTCGTATGCAAAGTGACAATGTAAACTTATTGTAAGAATATTACAGTTAAAATGGAAGTTTGGAACTGTAATATAAATCTTAATGCCATTACACCCTTTTGCTATTAGCATTCTTAGTTTCCATCGGCAATCAATTTAGGTATTTAATGTATTAAAATGTTACAAAACTTTTGCTGCAAAGATTTAACTTTTTTCGGTCTTGTTTAATGTCGTTTATGTTTTCTCGTACTCAGCCCTCAAATAGATTAAAAGCATTATAACAAAAAATATAATTATATTCATGCTCTCCAATAAAACTAGTTATAACTTTAGATATACCTAAGTTATGTCAACCAAATTCAAGACGATATGCTGTAAACGTTTGTTATTACTTATAACATGTATGCAATAAATACTCTAATAATAATAAAACTCATTTAAAATTTAGTTGGGAATAATTTAGAAATTAAAAATATTTTACGATTTATTCCAACTTTTGAATGATACAACTGCGTATGATTAAATAGCTATGTATTTATTTTTTGTATGTCCACACAATGTATCAGTGTTTGTGATATTTTTAATATATTTACTTTTTGTATTAAGTGGTTTATTTTAAAATGTCCATATACACATTTATTGAAGGATTTAGAAGCAGGCAACGAAATAGAGTTGAATTTGGGTTTGGTTAGATACTTCATCAGCCTAAAGTCGGTTGCAATCCCATCACTATCAGTGCTTTATTTTTTCTTTAACAAGAAATTCAAAACATCGAAGAAGGTTGTATAGATTAAAATTATGTCTAGATTAATCAATTTATTTGCAAGACTATAATTAGTTAAGAGTACCTAATTTCAAGCATATTTTTAGCCTACTACAGAAATATGAATTGCATGGTTATGTATGTAGAGAAAAGAAACATGATGATTTATATAGTTATTCTTTACGAAACAGTGTTCCCAAGACATACATTTATTTATAAGCCTTCATGAAGACTTTTTTATGCTTTCATACACCAAATTTTTTATACGTGACTTCTTTTTGTCATACCTCAAACAAAGCATTTTTTTCGGACATAAGTATGTAAATTTCTAAATGTAATTAATTATATTATGTACGATATTTATTTGATATCTACGTATATTTCTCGAGGGAGTGACCATCAGAGAGCCGTGTGTTTATAATCATTTTTGGATATTTCCCATGAGTACATATTTCATATCCTGTATTCAAAAAATATCTACGTCATTATCTTTACTTATATGTAACATGTTGATGACTGCCTCTATGATTATTTGCTTTCCATGCATTTTTATAGGTATATTAATAAATTAATCCATGTAATTTATTTAAATTTTATCGATAAATATTAATTTATAATGCTTTCTGCATTTAAAAGAAATTATAAGATACACACGCTGTCGTAATAAATATGTAAAAATGTTGTAAGATAAATGACGTAAAAGAATAAGTTTCATGAGAATTATTAAAATTTAAGATTGCTCGGTTTCTACGTGGGTAGAACGCGTAGAGGGCTTAAATATTCCGGGGGTATCCTCCACCCAATGTCTTATTTCTTACAATATTAATGTGGGCCAAGACGTTGTTTACGTCAAATGTGACGTCACAGTTTGAAATTGTTACATAGAGTAATATAAACAGATGGTCTCAGTCATTCTTAAATTAATTTTTCAATGGACAATTAAAACTTTTATCGAATTTTCATAACTCTGTAAAACATATGGAAATAGAAAAGGGCCGGTACGGAATATTTGAACACAATTTTTTTGTACACGAGTAGATGCGAAATACTTTGAAATAATTGACATTTTTTTTCCTTAATCTTTGATTTTAGTGTTGCTATATTAGCTATTGTACTCCGTATTCGGGAGAGTAATAGTTGATTGGACTATATTTATGGATATGTTTGAGAAACACTATAAAATCCCAGACTGAAAAAATATAATAAATCTGTCTACAACCTTCTTAAAGACTTGGGCCTGTGCAGAACTTATATGAATACATTCTTAAAACGTACTTCGAAAACAGTCCTATTAGGTTTCTTTTCAAAATTGGTTAAGTAGAGAGGAGCTTGGACCGTGGAAGTAAGTACATATACATTACGTTATATAGATATCCATTTTAGATACGCCTGGCACTTTAGTCCCATTCATGGTTAAAGCATCTTTCCCAGTAACGCGATGGCCTCGGAACCAGCACGGTGAATCCATGAAGTACTTAAAAGTCTTTTTCTTTGTCTTATTTAATTTTATGTTATAGTATTTTTTTTAATATAATGATTTCAGACCTTAACAAAATTTACTTCAACCAATTAGGATTATTATAAGATTATATAAAAAAAATTAATAATCTAAAATGTATTACGGTAAATTTACTTCGATATGACAACACTAATGTCACTGTCAACGTCTACGTATAGAGGGACGGGGTGAGAGGTGAAGCAAAAAGGTTAAAACCTGAATGAGTTCAGACGGGTTGATAGTACGTTAGACACGTACAAGTATTAAAAAGTTGAAAATAATATTTAAACATATGTTTTAACAGATAAGTTATCATTTGATGAGACAATATGGCAAATATCATAAGAAATTTAGTGCTAACTGTGATTAGTTTATCATTTGTTAATACAGATACACCTATAAAATTCTATCAAGAAAAGGTAAGTAGTTTAAGTTTTTATTGAATTAAAGTTTTTCTAACTTCAATATTTCTAAGATTCTTGTTTATGAGTTGATATGTTTGCTTTAACTATTAAGGTTTTGTCTCAAATAATTATATTGATATAGTGTTTTAAAAGTAATTATGAAAGTTTATTAATTACTTTCAACTATTGACATACAAAGTTGTTTTAAAGTTTTTTAAATTATAAATGATTGATAAACATTCCAAATGTCCTACTTCGTATTATTAATATTTTTTGTCTCATTATATCAAAAGCTTACACAATTATTTTAAAGTTTTATTTTTTTAGCTACTTACTAAATAAAGTATTTAACTATTTTATATAATGCAATAGAATCTGAAATAGTTTTATTGTGTTGCCATATTTAAAAAAATATTTAAAATGATGATAAAAAAGATTTAATACATTCTATGAATGCATCAACTATAAAGACTAGTCATACAAATATATGTTAGTCCTTGCGTGAAATATCAGCCAGTAATAATTGTAACATATACAATAACATTGTTATATAAAATTGTGTGCAGCCAATGTGACAACTTTTAAATGTTTTGAATAAAAAGTTTCCATTTAATAGATAATAATTATGAAATATCTATATATTATACTTGTCGTTCAACAATTGACAGTGGCATAATATTCTATGATTATAGTATGAATGAAGCCATAGCATTAAAAAATATATGCTTAACATATTTCTAAGCACATATATTCAGATATTTTATTATAGACATCACTGATTAATGCATTCCCAAAGAGGGTTGATGTCAGGCAGGCGGCCGGTCATAAAAATAACTAGCCAAAACTATTCACAACATGTGAGGGAGACCCTGGCTAAAGCTGGGAAATTGCCGGGTAGAAAAAGAAAAAGAAAGTACCATAGCATTAAAAATATACATACTTGACATATTTCTAAGCACATATATTCAGATATTTGATTATATGTAGAAATCTCTGATTAATGCATTCCTAAAGAGGGTTTATGTCAGGCAGGCCGGTCGTAATAACAATTAGACAAAACTATTCACAACATGTAAGGCAGACCCTGGCTAAAGCTGGGATATTGCCAGGTAGAAGAAGAAGGTGTATATTATCTAACACATATAACTTTAACCTTTAAAATTATGTTAATCAGGACTTTGAATATTTTAAAAGTGTTAACTTAAAACTATATTTAATTTTATGTACAAATAAATTAAGTGACATAAATAAAAGTTTTATCTAATTTTTTATTATATATATGTATTAAAAGGTTTTCTTTGGTTAAACAGGACATATAATTTGTCCTAACATTGAATATATTACTAGAGACTTTCACGGTACAAGGTTTATTTCAATGCCGTCATTAAACGTCGCCTGGCTTTGTATCGGAATAGAAAAGGCTTTGAAAACCGATATGTTTTACGTTACGTCCTGATCACGTAGAGTGGATCAATATACGTCATCACGTAAAACCAAAATAATTGTTATTCCTTACGGTGAATCCGATGCAATTTAATCGTCAATATTAATACGCAATATTGTTGTGTACGTCGAATTAATATATAGATATATTTTTTTACCTATTATTATTCAATTTATTCAAGGTAAAATCGCTATAAATAAATTTAGATGTGAAACTTAATAGATTCTTTTGTATATTTTTATATATTTTTTTATTTGTGAAGTCGACACGAAACTTCCTAATATTCCAAGGATTTATCGTGCGGGTGCCGGGTCCATCGCGTTGCAGGGAGAGAAGCTTCAACAGTGCCTGGGACTTGCGACCCAGGTGTAGGTTTAAGGGGCCCTTATCTAACGCGCGTTAAATGCTCACCTCCACTGTCCAAGCTCCTCTCTCTACCTAACCAAATTTGAAAGGAACTTATTTGGGCTGCCTTCGAAGTACGTTCCGTACTTACGTACGTACGGAATGAATTGATGTTAGTTCTTGACAGGCCCAAGTCTTTTAATTTGTTAAGAGTGATTTAGCTGTTATACCTTTCGCTCCCACTTCTAGCCCGTAAAAATCTAAGACGAACCTATTCCTAGTAAGCTTTTAATATTTATTGACCTTGATTGTATGCTATTTAAGGATGTTGGTTTCCCAAGGAACCGTAGGCTCTATTAGCACAACGCGCTTTAAAACTCGCGAATACATAAATATGTTGCATCTGGAGGCCGACGCATAAATATCCTCGGGGATTTTGAATTGTTTTTCATACGTCTCTATAAATATGTCATTATAGTCCATATAAATATGTTTTAAATATATCAATAGTATCGGGATATACAAAAAAATATTTTTTTTCAGAAATTTCACGAAGCACAAGAGCTCACGGATGACAACATAAAAGAAATAGCGCAGATGTCAAATAGGGAACACTTCAGGAAAGTTTTGAACCAAATATTAATACCTCGCGTTGTTGGTACTTTAAATCACGATAAAGTAGGTAATTATATATCAAATGAGATGAGGAACCTCGGTTGGGATGTCCAGGAGAATATATTTCCCGATCACACGCCTGTATTCGGGACACTGAACTTTAGAAATATAATTGCGACGTTAAATCCTAATGCGGATAGATATCTTGTACTGGCCTGCCATTATGACAGTAAATATACGAGGGAGCATGTGTTTATTGGTAAGTTACTATTGTGTTCTATTTTTCAAAATTATTTTTTAATTTTATGCTAATTTTTGTTGAATAAAAAGGTTTAATATCTAAATCTTAGATGTCATTATGGTTGAATTGAATATGTTAATTGTTGCCATGATAGGAATTTAAAAATATATTTTTTGCGTTTCGTATTTTACGTAATAATATATTTTTTTACCTCAATACCATTCATTGCTATATATTCTAAGAGCTAGCAACGTTTTTGAACAAGCATTTCAGGTAGGCTAGTTTTTAGATATGCTATCTCTCACACTCCCTTGGACGTCATACGGGCTATCTGGCTGCCGGTAGTGGTTGCGTTCATCAGTGCGCATCGTACTTGTGGAGGTAAAAAATTAATATATCAAATCATTTTAAGAAGGTTTTTATTATTATTATTATTATTATTATTGAACTATTCACAACATAAATTTATTATTGCCAGGTATTTTTATTGTTGTTTAAACGGTGCCAAGCGGCAATTTAGAATTAAAATTTTTTTTTTTTCAAACTATTTTAGTATAGCTGAAATTTTAATAGCATGATATTTAACTATCTAAAAGCTCAGAATTAATTTGCCAGGAAAAAAATCGGTTGTTAAACTTTTGCCAGATCGAAATAAAGTGTAAAGAAATGTAGTATCATTTAAGCTCGGTCTAGAAAATTAATCGTCTAATAAATGATGGAAGAAGGATTAACAACTATTGAATTTATTTATAGATGAATACGGTATAAAAATAATACTTTATTGTTGTACAAAATTGAGATAATGATCAATGTTAAGTTTGAAAAAGCGCTCTGGCTACCGAAAGACTAACCGCTTCACGTATGATTTCTAAAACCCTATCGTATAATTTTGAAAAAAAGTTCCGTAATTTTGATCCATCAAGTCTACCACCAAGTAAAGCTGAGTTATATCAACACTTACTACGAGTTCGTTATGTCACAACGTTTTGGAAATGCTTATTTAAAATACCCAACATCTCTATCACCTCAAGCTTCTGGCTGGACCATTAATGATGATAAATATGATTTTATCTGGTTCGTTGGGGAGCAATTACCAACATTAGTTGCCGATATTATTATTAAAGGTAAAAATTTGAACTAAAATACAAAAATAAATTATTTCTCGAAAGATATTAAAATTTTTGATTCTATTACAGATAACGGCTTATTACAAAATGATAATAATTTTAAGGACGATGATGACAATGGAAATGACAGCAGTAATGAAGATGATGATCTTTTTCAAACTTAACATTGATCATTTTCTCGATTTTGTACAACAATAAAGTATTATTTTTATACCGTATTCACCTATAAATAAATTCAATAGTTTTTAATCCTTCTTCCATCATTTATTAGACGATTAATTTTCTAGACCGAGCTTAAATGATACTACATTTCTTTACACTTTATTTCGATCTGGCAAAAGTTTAACAACCGATTTTTTTCCTGGCAAATTAATTCTGAGCTTTTAGATAGTTAGATATCATGCTATTAAAATTTCAGCTATGCTAAAATAGTTTGAAAAAAAATAATTTTTAATTCAAAATTGCCGCTTGGCACCGCTTAAACAACAATAAAAATACCTGGCAATAATAAATTTATGTTGTGAATAGTTCAATAATAATAATAATAAAAAAAACCTTCTTAAAATGATTTGATATATTAATTTTTTACCTCCACAAGTACGATGCGCACTGATGAACGCAACCACTACCGGCAGCCAGATAGCCCGTATGACGTCCAGGGGAGTGTGAGAGATAGCATATCCAAAAACTAGCCTACCTGAAATGCTTGTTTTTTTGACGTTGCTAGCTCTCGTACCAATAGGTTTAATAAGTTTCGAAATTTTAGTAATTAGAGTTTATTGTTGAGTTCAAATACGAATGTCATTTACAACGCGAGATATTCACCTTTCACTTATAAGTTAGTCAGTTTATTCCACGAATCCAAGGTCCACGATATTCTTTTCTCCATATAGAAAAACATTTGAACGGATTTTAATCAAACTTAACACGAGTATAGCTTATAATATCATAATATAAGACTCTAATTATATGACAAACAGCTTAATTCTGCTATATATATAGTTTTGAGTGTAGCTTGAAAGATCTAGTCATTAAGCTTAATTATTTCTTATCACAGGAGCGACAGATTCAGCGGTGCCTTGCGCGATGTTAATAAACATGGCGGCTGTTATGTCCAAACAATTGGAGACTAAGAAGAACTCGTCTCCTAGTCTTATGTTCATATTCTTTGATGGCGAGGAAGCCTTCAGGCAATGGGGTCCTAAAGATTCTATATATGGAGCAAGGCATCTAGCTAAAATGTGGCACGGAACGCCGTATAAAGATGGCGCCAATCACTTACAGAGACTGGTAAGAATACTTATATACTAGCTGCGTCCCGCGGTGTTACTCGCGGATTTCCGGGATGTAAAGTAGCCTATGTATTATTCCCGGACGTCAGCTTCCTGTATACAAAATTTTATCAAAATCGCTTCAGCCGTTTGAGCGTGAAGAAGTAACAAACATACACACACACTCACAAACTTTCGCAATTATAATATTAGTAGTATATATTTAAGTAAATGAGAATGAATTAAACGCTATATTATAAACAAATTTATACAGGGTGACTGGTGAATTACTATCAATATTTAAGGAGCATACTCGGTACATGATTCTCATTCGACGTATGTAAAAAAAAAATAGGTACTTAATTTTTGACCAAATTTCCGTATAAATAAATTAAAAGTGTGGACACGTTCCAAGTGTTCCAAGTGTGGACGCGTGCGTCGGCGTGCTGATACAACAACACGCCGCCGCGTTCGAGTGTGTGTGTGTGTGTATATACCTAATCTGTAGGGTGTTCACACGATGCGTAATTAATTACATAACTTTTGGTTAACTTTACTTAGAAGTTTATTAATACTTGTCATCAGCCTATTAACGCCCACTGCTGAGCATAGCCTCTTCTCACTTGGAGAAGGTTTTTGAGCATTAATCATTAATTTATACTTATGTTATATTAATTTTTATTTTGTCATATATGATCGTCAAATATCACGTCCTCAAATATCGATAGTAATTCACCAGTCACCCTGTATAACACAAAAGTTTAAATGAAATAAATATTATAAAAACGCAAATTACTTAAATGAATACTCGCGAAAGTCTTAGATCTTATTACACAAATAATTTTATACGTTATACTTAACTATGAAGTGAAAGTAAAACTTACGAAATAGTCTTTATGTCTTTGTCTAAATAAAAAAAAAACAAAACCTTTTTATACTGTACATGAAGAAGCAATAGAATTATATTTTTTTTATTTAACGGAAATTTTAAATATAATTTTCACAGTATTTAACAAAAACTTTATTAGACACGTGCCAGAAGTTATACGGCGATAGAGAATCTAATGTTCAATAATATCGTATTGACTTAGTTCAAATAATATATTTAATACTGGTTTGTAAAATTATTGAGAAAAAAACATTTAATTATAATTTAAATTAAGAAGTTTTTGGTTAACATAAATCAATGGAATTATCGTTTAGGATTTAATGGAAAATTAATATTTGTTATAAATATATATAGGTACATAATTCGATAATATTACCATTTTAATGAACAAATTCTAATGTTAAAAATACCTTATAAACCTCAACTTTAAGGTTAACTATTAAAACAGGTATTTGACGAATCACAATGATATTAAGCATCGAAATGGGAAAAATGAGTCGAGGTTTTCCCTGTTTAATATTAATTTATTCATTTAAAAGAATTTCTTAGAAAAAAATACAAATATGTCTATTTTGACGAACAGTAGTGTAGCGTACATAGGTCGTTAAGATCACAAATTATCACTATTGTTTACAATTGATATGTAGTTAGGTAATGACATATTATAAATGATTTTTTTAATTTTTTTTTTATATTTTCGGTATAAAAAACCTTTTTGTTCCTTATTTCAATTTAAGAGGATTCAAACTTCTGTTTTTTTATTGATTTTGTACATTTTTTTGAGAATTTTTCTGAAATAAAGCAATTTTATAGACGAACCAATAGAAAAAGCTTATAGCAAAAAACGCTATCATCTTAATAAATGTGACAATGTACATATTTGTCATTTATAAACCTCTTCGGTAAATCCCTAACCACAAGTCTGCTTTGTCACACTAAAAATAGATAGTACCTTTTTTCTATTCATATTTACGTTGGTACAATCACGTGCGGAAAATTGTATGAAATAAAAAAAAGATCTATGTATTTAGTTTGTAATAAAAAGTAGGTATTATATATATACATAAACAATATTTTTTAACAATTATACCCAAGAAAAGCGAATATAATATTTCTAAACTTAATACATAATAACAATTCGTATATCATTACTTATTATAGGAATGTATTTTTCAGGACGTTCTAATGCTATTAGACCTCCTCGGTACACCGGATCCGGCTTTCTATAGCTATTTCAAATCCACCGAAAAATGGTACATACGGTTGGCAAGCGCTGAACAAAGACTAGCTGAGTTATCACAATTCTCAGCCTACTCAAGAGGAAAGGCAGAACAGACATACTTCAGATTGTCAAGCTCAAACGCAGTCATTGAAGACGATCATATACCGTTTTTGAGGAGAGGTGAGTTTAAAACCTTTTATATAAAACCTCATTTGTCAAAACCTTATTCGATTTCAAAATTATCAGTTATTATTAATGATAAGATCTATGATAAGAGAATTTAATTTCAAAGAATATTTATTTTATATAAAGAATTACAAATATATATCAACTAGCTTTCCGCCCGCAGCTTCTCCCGCGTGGAGTTCGGTTATATCGCGTTTCCATGAGAACCTTTCAAAAGTCTGTGATAAAAACTATCCTATGTCCTTTCTCAAGTTCAACTCCCATATCTGTACCAAATTTCATTAAAATCAGTTCAGTGGTTTAGGCGTGAAAGCGTAACAGACAGACAGATAAAATTACTTTCGCATTTATAATATTAGTAGGGATTCACAAATAAGGTTTTCTAGTAATTTCCTTTGAATAGATTAAATCAAATATTATCATAGTATAATTTCATAATAACTCTGTTATCTCAAGTACTCATAATTAACGAACAGAGATATATAATATCTTTATATTATTTTTCTTGTTCACTCCCTTCGCGTGGAATAATTGTTGGTGTCGTTTTGTTTTATAAGCCTTTAATCATTATAGACAGCTTTAACATAGATATAAATGACACTATAAAAATAGAAAATCACAAACTATAAATATTCATAATATTTCACTATAGAAATACCTAGCAACCATTATTGAGAATCATTTTATTTAAATTAGCAGCTTTTCATTACATTCATTTGAATATATATAGGATACTTATATTGAAAGTGTATTTTTTTTAATTGTTGTCTGTCTGTATGTTTGTTACTGATAATCTCTGGAATAATTTTACTCATCTCGACGGAAATTTCACTCGTAAATAGATAATGTCATGAGGAGTAACTTGTTCTTCTTTTTGATCGACCTCAAAGAGGAGGAAATTCTCAATTAGTTGCGCTATTTCTCCCTCATATAAAGTTGATTGTCAAAATTACTTTTTTAATCATATAGGCAGTGTTTTACGATAAATCTTTTGTCATCCCGTCAAGATTGAGGGACCTTTTCCTAATCGAATGTAACTCAAAAAACTAGTATTGCAAACCTTCTCATACCGAGCCTATTTCTGTTTAGTGACAATAAACAGTAAAATATTATTCATAGACAATTCCATTTTTTTAATAATTAGCATTCTTCGAGTAACGGTCGTGGATATCCGTTCCAAACATCCATAAATATAACATAATATTGTCTTTGCTTTTAACAAAGTAACTCTTGTAGGTAAAATTAAATTGTATACTTATTAATAGACAACATTCATAACACATTCATTAAACGTCATGTATTTTTTAATAAGGCACTAATATATACAATAATGATTTTGCAAAAATGAACTATTAAGTATTAACCAAGCTCTACAAGTAATGTGAGCACATTTCACCCCATAGGTACAGGATATAGCAATAATGTGTATTATCTATGTAATTATGACGTATATTTTATTAATATACCTCATAACTACTATTCGTGGTGGCCTAGTGGTTAAAGGCCCGCCTCTCGAGCATGAGGACGCAGGTTCGATCCTGGCAAGTAGAAATGTGATTTTTCCGAGTCATATGTTATAATATGTACTTTCTGACGTCACTGACAGACAGTGAAGGAAAACATCGTGAGGAAACCTGGACTTATAATTTCGAATTATAAGTTTTAAATCACAAAACCGTCTTGAGCCAGCGTAGTGATTAATGCTCAAACCTTCTCCATGTGAGAAGAGGCAGCTCAGCAGTGGGCTCTGATAGGCTGATGATGATGATGATTTTAATAATATTTATTTAATAATATGTATTTATGTCCAGATGTAGACGTTCTTCACATCATACCGAACCCGTTCCCCAGCGTCTGGCACACGGAACGCGACGACATGTCAGCACTAGACTTCAACACTATAGACAATCTCAATAAAATATTCCGAGTATTCGTAGCCGAATACTTACATTTGATGTCCTAAATTATTTTATTTGACAATGTATAGATGATATGTATTTTTGGATCTATGCTTTTTAATTGTTTTGACAAGTAAATTCTATTATTTCTTTTTAATGACAGTTCTTATAACTGTCATGTTTTTTTATATATTTTCTATGGCGTTATATTATACTTTTTGTTAACTATCTGTAACTTGACTTGTATATTAAGATTGTTAGATTATTAGATTTCGATCATAATATGATACATTCCATTAATAACGAAGCCATTTTTGGATTTTAAAAATTAATAGGTAAAAATGAGAAATAAAATTATCTAATAAAATATTTCAAATGCAACCCAGTGTAATAGTAGAGGTTTGCATATTCAGCTTAATAATTACATATATATGTTTTATACCTATATAAATCATCACAAAGCTTCCTGTTTTTAGAACATTCTGTTTTTTGTCATAGCTATGTAAGCTCCTACTAAGCACAGTAATAATGTACACAATATTAATTAACCGGCTTTATTAGTTGGCTTGTATGTGATATTGAGTTATAAGTATCGTTGTTAATGAATTTTAAAAATAATAAATGTGACTTGAAATGTTCAACACCAATTTATAAATACTCAGTGTGGTATGTAAAGTATATTATTGTCGACGTGGTAAGCTATATATATATATAAATAGAATAAAAACTTTTTGCTAATCTGGTAGAATATTTTGTGCTGTAGCCTGAATGTTATATAGAAAAATATTGCCTAAAAAATTAACTGGACTATCAATGTCATCGAATTCTTTTATAAAAGTTCGTTGATAGGTATTTTTAGAAATTGTAAATTCTTAAATGATATATTTTTGTCTAATGAATTGTTCCTAGAAATGGTTGTCTAAACATTTTAGTACTTAACTTGTAACATGTATTGTGTCATCTCATTTAATTGCTTTTGCTCTTTATTCTTTAGATATTATCTTCATTCTGTGATTATATAAATGACGATTATTAGAAATTATAGTTATAACAAATATTTTTTTATTTGTATATTTTTCAAAATATCATTTAATTAAAGAAGACTAGAATAAACATAGTTTAAAAAAAAATTAATGGCCGTCCGCCATAATGGATTTAAAGGTGGCACTTCACTTGCCGTTTATTCGTTGTATTCGGCCAAATAAGATCATGTGTGGAGGATTTATTCGTCTTCAATTGACATATTTGCACAAATAAGCGAAAACGCGTAAAGACGTGTTGTTGGCATGCCAAGTGTGGATGTCGTGTTTGCGCTATTTGGACTACGTACAAATATTTGGACAAATGCTTCGAATACGCAACGCCAAGTGAAGTGCCACCTTAAATTGACAGTTAAATTGGTTTGACAAATTGGCGGCAAATAAACTTTTTGTCAATAATTGTTTTTAATTAAAATATTTAGTATATATAAATGAATCGTCTGTATGGTCTAATAATAGGAATATAAGTTTAAATATAATTTGATGTCACACACCAATTAATTGGATTTAATTTTAAACATGTTTTAGATTTTTGTAATAAGAGTTTTTTAATGATATTATAAGTTATGAACGTGCTTTTGCGGACCACTATTACATTCCTGTATAGTTTAATATGAAGTAAAAATATATTATTGATGTTGCAAATTATGTTTTATTTAATACCCTGATAATAATAAAACACAATTAAAAAACGAAAAAATAACTTTATTAAAATGTATGTAAAATATTTCATAATATGTATAAAACAATTAATGCTAATACATTCTTAAACTCAAGGCGTCTATTGTAGAAAAGAAAATTTGTTATACATATATTATAAGTGTATATAACTTAAAAAATCTTTAGAATATGCTATCGAGTAAAGATCCTTTGAATTTCCTCATAGTTCTTTCCTCTAGCTCGGACATCTTTTGTTCCAAAACATTTTGACCCCTCTCAGACTTTTCTGTTGCAATACTATCGTTAAAATCCATATTAGTATCAGTTTTCATATTTTTCTCACTTTCATTTCCTTTTCTATTAGTCTCCAAAGCAGGAAAATTATCTACATTCTTTACTTCAAGAATACTTTCAGAATTTTGTTCGGAAATACAATATGAATCTTGTTCCTTGAAATCAAGAGATTCTGTTGAATCTTCAACAGTCTCTGATTTATTTTCATTTATAATTATTTCGTTGATTGCTTCTTTAAATTTTTGAGACTCTGAAGCTTCACTAATTTTGTTAGCATGATTAATTTCAGATGTTTTATTGCAAGTACTTTCAATGAGTGAAGAGGAATAATCTTGTGAATCAATTTCATTTTTTATTATTATATCACCAAGATCATTACTTTCAGTTTTCGATGTATTTATAATATTTTCTTTACATATAATAGTATTGTATGGAATGTGTTCCAGTTTCATTGATGCGTTGGATTCATCATTATGAATGGTATTTTTGGACCGTTTAAATTTAGTACCTGTTGCATCTTTATTCTTTCTTTTATTACTTTCCTTATATTCTTGCAATATCCTTGTATTCTGAAAAATAAAATTTTGTATGACATTCCAAATCTATTTTTATAAAAACAATTATTTTTTATATATTACAAGATGGTGAATTCATTAGATATATTTTTATGAGTAATGAACTATGAAACAATATGAGTGACTTTGTACTGCTTTTTTTATTAAAAAACTTACCTCTGTGTTGCTAATTGCTGGCACATTATTTTCTCTTATAACAAAATCGTCCAGAAATGAGTCCAGAATCAAAGCTTGTTTCAATTTATTTTCTGGGTTTACTTTATTGTTAAGGATGTCATTAATATTGATTTTTGACTTCGGAAACATCCACTTATAAATAAAAGACAGTAATGAATGGTCTTTCTAAAAGATAAAAAAGAGACATTTTAAAATATACTTAAAACAACATTTACAATATTTTTAAAAAATAGTCATTAATTTTATCATTATTACTTATTCTGAATAAAAGATACATTCAAAAGTTTCTTAGATATTAGAGTTAATTGTGGCATAATGCTACTTGTATTGGTATATATACAAGTTTTTATTAACTTTTTAGTCAAAACATACCTTCACATCTGTAGACGTAATCCATATTTTGAAATCAGCGTCTATTGATACCTTCTGAAGTGATTTACACATATCGTCCTTGATAATAACCACACACCAATTACAGCGAGAATATGATGAAAGATCGTCAACTTTCTTCAAGAAGATCTTTTTCTTTAATCTCGGGTTGGATGATTCTATAGCAATATCATCTGTAATTAAGGAACACCAATTAAGAAGGTTCAATAGGTTTATAAAAAAAAATAAAGACAAATATATTTAAATATATTTTATATGAATCTTATGTACCGATGCTGTATCCAGTCAAGGATAAAAAAAGCTCTTTCCAATGCTCAATTTCATCATCATCAGTACACAAAATCAAAGTACGCTCCTTTAATAGGGAAGAAACAGCATTCAAAAATAAAGTTGTAATATGTGATTTTCCACTTCCAGGTGGAAAATTTAATACAGCACCAGGTTTTCCCTGTAAGATATATTTTTATTAAAGTTATTGCAATTTAGGCTATAGGTTTCTCTTGGTACATTACTCACCTTTTTAAATTGTCTATAAAGAAATCTAAGCCCACCTATTTGATGCTCTTTAAGACTGTGACAATCATTTATGTATACATAATTCTCATTTTCCTTATCAAGATACAAAGGTTCACTGTAAGTTTCGTTGGTATCAATCATTTTTCCTTCTCTATAAATACATGGCTTATAAAGATATATTCTGATTAAGCCTATTTAGAATGGATAGAGTCATAATTAAAATATAAAGCATTTCTAGGTAAAAGAGAGCGATAAATACTGAAACACTAGTTTTATGGACTTCGATGTCTTCGAATTCTTGGAAAATATGCCTATTTTGGAATACATATTCCCAAAACATATGTAATAATTTATCAAGCCGCTATGTGTGGAAAGTTATCAGTTTTATTTTATGATATATGTACATACTGTATAAAATTACATTACAATAAATACTTTCATTTCATTTTAGTTGAACAATTAATTAGAAGTAATAATTCATGATTTCAGTTTTGATGATGATTTATTATTTCAATTTGACAATGTCAACATTCGAATGACAGATTTTATGATTAAGTTTAGAAACCTAAATAGCACAGGTAAAATACTAGATTGTACCATTTCGAAATCAGTAGCAAATGAAACAAAACTTTATTGAGTGAAGAATTTATTGGTTTCATATTTTTAGGGTTCTTTTTAAGGAACTGAGCATCTCAACTTTCATAATATTTTTAAAACGAGACGGAATTCATTTTGGTAAGAGCTTAATAAATGGGTTTTCATTAAAAGTTCAAATTACAACAGTAATAATAATCTTATCTCATTTTTTACTAGTTTATAACAAACATTAAGCTAATGTTTTTGAGGAATTTCACACGCAGATGTGAATATAGTGAAAGTGTGATAATTTATAAGCTGCAGTGCCACATAAAGTATAACTGAATGTTTAACAGTTTCTTAAAATTAAGTTTTAAATAACTTTCTCATGTTAGGTTCGAGAATTTTCTATTTGATACTATTATTCACTCTAAGAATTTGTTTGTCTTTAATTCAAACAAACGACAAAAAAAAATCAACTTATATTTTTTTAACTTTTTATTGAAATGTTACATAGGGTTATGTTATAAAACAATGATATAAAAAACTACATTTACCCTTATATCTGTAACAATTTAAAATTTATAAAATATATATATCTGTATATGTATAATATATTTATAAACATTCATTCATTATAGCACCTCTATGTACACTTTAATTGTTTTTGAAATTAGGCGCCCTTTTCTCGACAAACGCCGTCATGCCTTCTTTACGATCCTCCTGTAATAATAGACACAGGAATACATTAATAATAATTAATACAATAAAATAAATATAACATTTACATAAATTTCAGTTTTTTTTACTTACAGTAGCAAAAGTTCCGTAGAAAGATGATTTCTCATACTGTAGACCCGATTTCAGTGTGGTTTCATAAGCCTGGTTGACAGCTTGCTTGGCCAGTTTCACAACGAGTGGTGAATGAGTGCCGATTCTTTCAGCCAATTTAATTGTTTCTTCCAAAAGCTTCTCAACAGGGAAAACTTTACTGACAAGACCTTGAAAATATATATTTTTTATAGTGACGAAACCTTTTAGCATTTAATGGATTCATCGTGTGGGTGCCGGGTCCATCACGTTGCAGGGAGAGGAGCTTCAACAGTGCCTGGGACTTGGGACCCAAGTGTAGGTTTAAGGGACCTCTATCTAACACGCGTTAAACCCTCACCTGCACCATCCAAGCTCCTCTCTCTACTTAAATAAATTTGAAACAAACTAGGCAATACATGTAATATTTCTCATTAAAATGAAATATCTTACCCATTTTCTCAGCTTCATGAGCATCAACGAAGTTGCCGCTTAAAACGATCTCCATGGCTTTGGATTTTCCGACATATCTTGGAAGACGTTGGGTACCTCCAGCTCCGGGGATTGTTCCAATGTTAATCTCGGGTTGACCAAATTTGGCTTTCTCACCGGCATATATGATGTCGCATAGCATAGCCAACTCGCAACCACCTCCCAACTGTACAAGATAATTGATCTAATTAGTAAATAACAACTAATAATACAAAGGAACAACACACTAGTGTTTTATTAGTGAAGTTCAATTATGCCTGTTAAAATTCTAACCGAATTTGATGATGATGAAAAATATAATATTTAATTTACTGAACAAGATAATATTAGAATATTGTCTCCAAACATTCTATTTAATATGAACTTTCATTGTAAACTGTAATTGGATTCTACTATGAATAAATTTATATTTTTATTTTTCCATTCTCAGATTTGTCAGATAAAATTAAAAATTTCAGTAAAAATTACAGACTGAGTGGAATCAGATATATAATAAAAAATATTAACACATTCTATGCAGAGAAAAAAAGCTATTTCCTGTGCAGACTGCATCGGTCAGCAATGACCACAATAGCAGAGAATGTGTTAATACAGAAGGCTAGTTAGCCTTATTTTACATATAAGCTTAAATTTAACTCAAGTTAAACTTCATGTAGTAATTATAGTTCAGATTAATACTAACAGCAAAACCATTTACAGCTGCAATAATTGGTTTTCCACAGTTAGAAATGTCTTCCCATTCTTGTAAGAATCCAGCTTTGACATTGCTACTGTATGTGTTATTTTGCATTTCTTTAATATCAGCTCCCGCTGCAAAGGCCTTCTCGTTCCCTAGAATATAAATGAATAATTCTGTTAGTTTTTATATAGAAACTAAATTAATAGAAATTTTTGATATGACAACAATGTTATATAGTGAAATTTTTTGATCTCATAAGGACTGCACTCGAGACGTAAAAACATTGACAAAAAAAAAATGTCCTTATTATACAATATGTATATGATTTTTAGTGTTCTAAATTTGAAATATTATTAAAATGTACTTCATTTAGTGGTGTATACTCATGTATCATATGAAAAATACCTGTTATTATAATGGTGGCAATTTTATCATCAGCATCAAAGTCCTTAACAGCTTTGCCAAGTTCAACAAAGAGATCTTTGCATAAAGCATTCAAAGCTTTCGGTCTGTTGAGACTTATGAGACCCACATTCTTTTTAGCACCAACCACATCAATTTTGATATTTTCATATTGAGCACCTGAAAATTAATCATGAAAATTTAAAGTATTTTATTTAATTTTGTTACAAGTATTTGATTTCAATTAATTTAGTTATGAGATTACTCAGACTTTCATTAAGTTAAAGTTAAAGCGAAGTTAAAATGAACATCTCATAAATATTTATTAAGAATATATTTTAAAATAATGAAAATAAAAATATACTGTGACTGTGAATAAGAAACCTTTATGTCAATCTTTATGTAATATATTTATATATATAATCTTTATGTCAAATTATACAGGCAGAAGCATTATCATAATTTTTTTTACAACATCATTATCATGAATTTGCCTTTTTATTCAACCGTTATCACATATAGATAAATTTCAGTTATCTTATTCAGTAAATAGAAGTTTAAAAAACAAATAGATAATACATTCGTCACATAATATCTTGTCGATGATTTAACAATAAGCGATATTTCATAATTACATGGCAATTGGATTTGCTAAACAATGTAATGTATCTATATGAAAAAAAGCTGGGTATTAATTTAAGTGTTGGCAATGATAAATAAATTAATTGTATCACAACACATTATGTAATTTCCTGTTAAGAGTTTACAAAAGTGGGAATAATATATATCATTTATATCTATATATTTTTATTAAATGATTGTTATTTTTTTTATCTATCTGCTGGTGTTAGTATTAATAATTTATTTCTAATCAGTATAAAAATTATTTTTACTAATGTAACTTTTTTTATGTTTCGAATTAATCAGTTGTATTAAAAGTACTCAATTTAATTTATTCTAGTAATTTCTAGATATATAGCATGTGTTAGACTTAATGTATAACTTATGAAAAAAGATATTTTACTATAATTTTGTCACTATATTTTTTGTATTAATGTACTTAAGTTATGTAACTATTCAGGTTTTATAACTTTAAGGAGGTTAGAACAAAGAGACCAGTTTACCGGTTCAATAGCGATTTCAAGGACGAAACAAATGAGGTATTCAGTCACTTAATTTAAAAATAATTAAAACAATAAAACATGAAAGTTATAAAGCACACAAATAAATATGAATTATATATTAGATTTAAAGACGAATATACTTCTTATTATTAAATTATTACCTGTACTATAGAACTTTATAAAACTTGTGTTTGCCGCAGCAGTCCAATTCGAATTCAAGGATAACTTTCCCAAAACCCTAGAAATAGAAGTTACAGAGGCCATTTTCAATAGTTTAATCGTTGCCTCGCCGCTACTTTTAATTCAAAGACTTGGTGGTCTCTGAACTTTGATATTATATATACTGATAAGAAATAAACAACCGTCTCACTAGTGATTAAAACGACTGCGAGTGGGCGAATACGATTAACGAATGATTCTTATATTCGAAACCTTTGTACCTACCAGCTAACTGTCTTGAAGCAAAAACTCGGAAATCTTAGAAAATTTATTTGTTTTGTTTTTCCATTAGTTAGTTAATTTAGTTCTAAGTGACATCTTTTTAGTAATAATGATTAGAACAACTATAATTGTTTCTTAAAATAAATAAGAATTATTTGCTTCGGTAATTATTTTTCTTAAACTCCCAATTCAATTACGACTACAATCAACCACTTTTCAAATTCAGAGTTTTGTTCAAAATTACTTAAAGTAGTTATAATCAGTCATTGGGATAATCATAATTCATATTTCGATACTTCTTCCGATTTGAGTACAGCAATATCTCGATTTAATCAGGTTAACTCTGGAAAGAAACAAGAATATTGTAAAAGTTAATTACAAATAATATTATGAGAAATAATTATTTGTACCAAAAAGTATTTATTTAAACAGTTGAGTTTTTGATTTTGAAAGACTTGTATTCTGTTATCATATAAGGTACTAGACGGATGATTTTTGAGATAAATTGACATTTATTAACACATCCCTTTATTGTCTTTTTTGTTTCTCTGTCAGAGTTTTTGTAAACATTAGATGATAATATTTCTGATTGCATTTTTAACACAGATACATACGGAATGAAAAAATGGCTAACAACATAATATTTTTTATTCTAACTGGCGATCCCGGTTAGTAAATTTGATCATTTAGAAATCCAATTTTTATAATCTGACTTCAAAAAACTGTTGCAGGCGTTGGAAAGACAACCCTAATTAAAAAGATTGTTTCTATACTTAATAGAAAAGGAATAAAAACTACAGGATTTTACACTGAAGAAGTTAGGAATAACCGGGTTCGGGAAGGTTTTGATATTGTTACTTTGAATGGAGTGAGAGGAAAGTTGGCAAGAGATCAGAACTTGTTAAATACAAAAAGCAAATATACAGTTGGTAAATATGGAGTACTTGTAAAGGATTTTGAAGATATATCTTTAGCATCATTGGAAAAGGTGGCTTATATACATCATTTTATTCTGGGTCTGACTTAAAATAAGTTTGAGTATGAATTTAAAACTTATTATATTATCATAAAAAAGGCATACTCATATGCATGCATAATAGATTAAGTAATATTTTCAGGAACAGTTTTACCATATTCAATCTATTATTTAGTAAAATATTAAGCTTTTCTGCTTTTTTCACTTATAAATTATATTTTCAGCCAGACTCTTCTGAAAACTATGTAATGGTGATAGACGAGATTGGGAAAATGGAATTTTTTAGTACAAGTTTCAAATTCCGAATTAAAGACATCTTTAGTTCAGAATCCAAAGATATAGTACTAGCGACAATACCTTCTAGAAAGAGTGATCCAATTATAGAATCCATAAGAAATGATAAAAGATCCATTGTGTGGATGGTACGTCTTAAGAAGTTTTTTTAATTTTATTTTATTTTTATATTTTTGAATAAAAATTTGTTTTTTTTTTCAGGTAACCAGAGAAAATAGGAACGTATTACATGATGAGATAGTAAATAAAATATCATCAATAATATAATATGGCCATTTTATTTATCATTATATGACTCTGGCTATTATGCCTTTTATGCTCAAGTTGTAGGTACTTATGAGGTAGAATAATTACTACATATTAGGAACATTTTATAGTATATGTATAATTAAAGTACTTAATTGTTTATATGTTTTAAAGGGTTTATCTACAAAAAACAAAAATGTGTTATATGATGTCGAAGCCTAATTTAAACAATATATAAACATTACATATATATATATTTTCTTATAATTGATTAACTAGCGTCATCAGATAAATCGTCAAACTGTCCGTCAGTCTCATAGTCAATTGTGGGATTACATAATTTTTCATATTTAACTTGGTCTGCAATAGGTACTATGTGATTGTCAATCGGGCAAAAGTTTCCTTCATTAATCTTTTTTCTAACAAAGAATATCCAGGGTGACTGTGGGTTTTCAGTCTTCGGGGTTAGATGAGGTATCCAATATTCGTCAGAATCCCAGTCTTCTGGTGAGCTCGGTGGTCGGTTCTCGTCAACTGGAATTCAATAAATTTTTGTGGCATATCAATTGAAAGAGGGCTTTTTCACATCAATGGGTTTTATAGACTAATCATAATATTATAAATATATTTAATACATGTTGTAAGACTAATAATAAAATATAATTTGCTTAAAATGTATGATAGTAAAGTACCTCTATTTTCACTTCCACAACTAACGAGTTCATCATCAGTGATATGAGACTTTTCATCATCTGATTTCTCCTCAACATTTTTTCTGTAGAAAAAATAATTATGAACACTTAAATCAAGTAATTTAGAAACAACTTGAAATTCTAATTACAATACCTGCCATCAAATCTGTCTGCAACATTAGATCTGAGTTTTTCTTTTCTCCTTACATATTCCTCATGACTAGGTTCTTCAAAATAATTCATTGCCAGATCTATTTCATCGAATTTCTCTAAACCATCAGGTATTTCATTTAAAAAATTATTATACAAGTCTAGTTTTCTAAGACATGGCATTTGAGATATACATATCGGTAGCATACATAGTTCATTACTATCTATAATAAGGGTATTTAAGTTTTCTAACTTAAATAATTTGTCAGGTAAATACATTATATAGTTGTGTGATAGTATGCATACTTCTAGTGTCTTTATATCACAAAATTCATCAGGTAATTTTGATATTTCATTGTATGAGAGATCTATTAATTTTATATTTTTATACAATCCAATACTAGGCTCTATATACCACACAGCAGTATTACTTAGATTTAATATTTCTAAATCATTCATATTTTCCAAAATTTTCCATACCACTGTGTCCGTTTTATTTGTATGACAAAATTTACTTATATTTGATGTACCATATTCCAATTGTTTAGCATTTTTAAATGTTCCTATTAATTGTTTATGCTTTTTTAAGTTGCAATTATATATTATTATGTTTTGGACTAGACAATTGTATTTCAATAATTCTTCAAAGTAACCATTTTGAAACGCTTCTGTTATGTGGTTGTTAGAACTTAAGTTCAGTTTATTTAATTTACTTGGGTTTGAAGTCCATACCCAATGTGGTGGACCTAATAATTTGTTGTTGCTTAAATCCAGATATTCTAAGGTTTCATAGAAATTTGGTGTGCTGTCGAAATATTCTATGTCATTAAATGAAAGATCCAAAACCCTTATATTTCTAAGAATTAATATCTCATCTGGTACGTCGTTTAGTTTGTTATTCGAAATATATAATTCTGTTATATTAGGTAGTATAAGTGTACTTGTGTTTAGACTTATTATATTTTTGTTACTTAAATCTAATTTTAAAGTTGAAAATCCATTTTTCTTCTCCTTAATTCTGTTTTCGTCTTTCTCCATTGGTAATATTATGTTTACTATAGAAAAGAAATAGTAACCCTACAATATTAAAGTGAATTGTAATTTAAAAATAATATATAACATAAATAGTTAACAACAAGCAGGTAACAAGACTAAAAAGTAAAAATAAATTCTTTGAGAAATTTTGAATTTGACATTTGTTTTAAAAAATTCTGCTTTGGACTCTGTTTACATAAAAACTAAAGACGATTTGGATATATTACATCGAATTGGAAATCGATAATAATGCTTGGGGATTTGGATTTTTAGGAGCTTGAAATGACAAAACATATAATATTTATTTTAATTACACAAATTAAGATTCATTTAATTATTTCAGCTATCTGTCGCATAACAAAAAAAATAAAAAAATAAAAAACCTTTTTCTAAACCTTATCCAATGGTTTAAATTCTTCCAATTAATACATTAGTCAGTATTTATATATGCATATATTTTAAAGTTTGTGATATGTCAATATTTAGGCTAAAACTTATAACTCATCATCAGGTATGAACAACTTATTAAAAATAAAACATCGGACTAATTTCTTAATAAACTGTAGATTCTTGAATGTTAAAGAATGTTTAATGAAGTAGTTATGAGTGAATATAGTAGAAATAAGATTATTCTTCTTTTTTGAAGTCTTTAAAAAAGTAACGTCATGAATAAACCATATTATGCCTGCAACGCGTAAAGCTGTCATGTCTTGATATTAAAAATAAATTCTCCGCTGCACTATTTCAAGCTGCAAAATTTATTTCTATGTTGAGTAGACTGACGTTCCCTAGTAGGTGGGCAAACTATTGTGTCGAATTATGTATGTATGCATGCGTAAAGATATGCCAGTTTATGATTAAAAAACTTGTATTTAAATGTCCTTTACATCCATTAGTTATAAGTTATAAAATTTATTTAAACTAAAAGTAATATAATCTAATTTAATATAATTATAATCATAGAGTGACTTTTGACTTTTTTTTTATTTTTATAAAATAGTATATAAATTTTAATAATATCTGTCTTTAAACCCTTACTTTAGTTTGACGGTTCTAGTTTTTCTACCATTTGACATTTTGAGCAACAGTAGTTACTTACTTCTTTAAAAAAAATTATCTCTTCTTTGTTCTGCTTCTTTCGCCGTATGAACCAATATCGATATATGTAATAGATTTCGACTTATTATTATAAGTCCTGTCCTCTTACCATTCGTATTTAGTTCTATGAAAATTACTGTAACATTTTTTGTTTTAAGATGATTGATTTACAATATACAATTTCTTTCAATAGTTTTATTACTTTATGTATGTAATTATAATAGGTATCTCGCATTTCCATAAATAGAATGAAAACTGTAATGGCTTCATTGTATTCGGCCTTTTTCATATTCTATTCTTATATAATAACTTGTTAGTTGTTTTCATAATTTGTCTGTAAAAATACTGAGCATGTTTATATTAAGATGTTTGTTTCTGCTGTTTACAAAATATGCTATGACGAAACGTATTCCTAAATATCGGTCGTAAAAGTAAGTGTTTACCAAACTTTTCACAATATTTTTCACGACTACACCTATTTCCGCGGAACGATTAGTATGTTAGTTCAGTACTACTACACTCAAAGGAATTGTCGGTTTCATTAAAATGATCGTAAATAAATATCAAATTAATATATTCATCGCATTAGTAATTTGCAATCATTACTGTCTTTGCAATAAAAATTCTGATGAATACAACAAACCGGATATAGCAAGAGTTGGAAAAACTAAAAGGGAAAAAATGCGTACGTATTATTTGTTATTTTAAAGCATTTATACATATAATGTACCGTTTGCAGAACAATTAAGTTTTCGATTATATATATAGCATTTTATTTATAACTTTAGGACAAAACACAGCTGTAGGAACTTTTTCAAACGTCATAGCACAGATTCAAAATTTACCAAATATGGACCTCGGCAGGAAATTTCGGACGCCTTGTAAGACTGGAAATAAATGCGGGAAGGTAATTTCTAATGACAGAACTCATTGTATGTATATTTAGATGTCCACATTCGTATTAAATTAAGCATGCAACGAAAATTTAATGGTGACATTTATATATACTAATTCCATAATACATATTGAGAAGCATAATATGCAACTTGAGATAAATCAAAGTTAAATGAAAATTATACAGGAATAAAAATATTTATAAGCATGTAATAAAAGTTAGCAAAGGATATTTTTTTATTATAACCGGCGTCTAATACAGATTAATAACTTTAACAGGTAATTAAGAGGCTCATGGTACCTAAGCTGGCGCAATTAGAAAATACCATTATGGGCATTATGAAAGAGCTATCAAAAATGCCACCCGGCTCTCGTCTTCCTGACAAATACACCAAAACTGAACCAATCAAGTTGCTGTTGGATCAAAACTATAAGTATGATTAAGAAAAAATATATATTTAGCTTCGAGCAAGTAATTTTTTTGTATAATAATTTATTTAAAATTTTCAATGTTTATTTTAGAGAGGACGTCTGTATGGACAAACTGGAGTCTTGTTTGAAGGAAGACAAACGACGTAAAAGGATTCTCAAGAAATTGTTCTTTAAAAAATATAATTCGTTACGTCAAGAACTCATTGGTTATGGAGGCCGGCGACTGTGGGGCGGAGAGGGAAATTTGTTCTATAAATAATAATTATACTTATTACGAATACAATACATATTTTTATTTTATATAAATGTGTTTTTTTTTTAACTTTGATATTGAGTTATATTGAATTATATGACCCGAGTTGCATTGTAGAAATTGTCTATAGTTCTATATAACTAAAACTGAGTTATAGTGCGTTTGATTTAAGCTGAATTTTGCATTGGCGTGAGTGCACACGAATAGTGTAGGTGTTATGTCAAATTTTCGAATGCCACGTTCTTTTCTAGTTTTAAGCCGGTTTATTCTGCTTTTACTTCGCCCCGCACCTTCCGCACTTCACCCTTTGTAATGGTAGCAGCGTCAAATGTTAAAAACGCAATGTCAAGTAAATAAGAATTTGTATAATTTTTTCAAAGTTTTACTACCTAATTCATAATTTGTTTTCCATAATATTTCCATCTGGCCTTTTACATGTTTTTCTTATTTTATTTCAAATCTAGAATAGCTCTCTCTTATGTTATGCCTCTATCTATTTAAAATATGTATCTTAAAAAATAATTCCAAAAGTTTTTTGTCTTTTTTAACTTTAACTCTACTTTTACTTTCATTCACACAAATGCAAAAGCTCAGCTTAAGTCTAACGGACTATACCAGGAGATTGTGACGTCAAATTAAATTCAGATTTTATAGTTTTTCCCATCAATCGCTGAAATAATTATATAATTACGAAGTCATGGTTAGAGTTCAGTACTTAAAAGTAACACAATTTGCTTTAAATAAAATGATATAAAAACTATCTATGTTTTTTTTCATGAATGAATGGTCTAATCTGTTCTTAGTGAATTAAGTTCCTAAATTATTTTATCTTTATTAGCATATACATAGTTTTACCTTTGAAATATTGACTTAAATAAAGTCCATATAAGAGATCTATCTCAATTTCATAATATCCTTAAACATAGCTGTAATTTACATAAATAACCAAATGCTTATAATTTCTGTGTAGTACTTTTTTATTTGTGATGTTTATTTATTGTTAAGCGGTATAGATTACTTAAATTGGTAATTTATTTCGTTTATATATATTGTTTATCTAAAGTAATATTAACACTGGGGAAAAATATTACGGGAATCTGTTTTATGGGATACCTAAGATTGATACATCAATAATACATAGTTTTCAATACTGGCAACACACTTGTGTTTCGATTAATTCGTAATATCTAGTTCAATTTTTGCTATTGATTGTTGTATGTTCTTTAAAAATATGCAAAATAATTTTCTAAGGGTTCTATTATTCATAAGTGACAACTTTATATGTAACAAAATTGTCTTATACCTATTGATGATATGATATAGTATTATTGTATTATAGCTCCAGTGTGGGTCGGTGCCCTCACAAGGCCGAACGTGGCTGCGCTGCACGGAGTGCAGCGCGTCATGGCGGTGAGGGTGGTACGAGCATACCGCACTGTCTCTCATGAGGCGGCTTGCGTGCTGGCTGGGACGCCTCCCTGGGAACTGGATGCCCAGGTTCTGGCGGAGGTGTACCACCAGCGTGCGCGAAAGCGATCCCGGGGAACGAGTCCGGACTGGGATCGGGTGGAAGGTTGGTGGCGCTCCGTGCTCGCCTTGCTATTTCGCCGGTGGAGGCGGAAGCTCTCTGAGCCAGTGGCCGGGTTGCGAACCGTGGAGGCTATTCGCCCGCTCCTCAAAGAGTGGGTGGACCGCCGACACGGATCCTTGACCTTCCGGCTGGTGCAGATCCTCTCGGGGCACGGTTGCTTTGGGAGGTATCTGTGCCACATAGTCGGAAGAGAGCCGACCGCGGCGTGTCACCATTGCAGTTGCATGGATGACACCCCCGATCACACCTTGGCGGAGTGCCCTGCGTGGGCGATAGAGCGTCGCCAGCTCACCACGGTGGTAGGCGCAGATCTCTCGTTGCCGGCAGTGGTTCAGGCCATGGTCGGTAGCGAGAGTGCCTGGGAGGCGGTGGTCCGGTTCAGCGAGTGCGTCATCTCGCGGAAAGAGGCCGCTGAACGAGCGCGGGAAGATGACCCCTCCTCGGCGCCCCTGCGTCGACGAAGGCTGGGTAGAAGGCAGCGGGCCTACGCTCGCCAAATGCCTCCCCAGTGAGAGGAGCCTCCGGGCGTTGGTGGGGAACCGGCGTCCGGGCAACATAGGCTGGAGTGAGAGTGGCGTGCTTGGCGTTCCCGGCACGCTGCTCTGGAGTCGGAGGGGAAGTGTGGTGAAGCCACTGTGACCCCTGCCGAAGACGGAGTCCATGGGACTCGTGCGTAGTGAGCGGAAGTATAGCTTGCCGTTCCCGCTCACTAGCCTACGCACAGCGCAGAGAACGCCGAGGAGTTTAGTGGGTGGAAATCCCACACGCCCCCGCCGTGTTTTCCCCTGCGGCGGGAAGTCTTTGAAAGATTCTCCTCGTTAAAAAAAAAAAGTATTATTGTACATATTATCAGTCAGTTTTAATTAACAGTAGATTTAAATAGTTTATATACCTAAGTAAATATTATTAAGTGATGGCACTCCATGCGATAATTATTTTAAATGCTTTTCTGTTTAAAATTATAATGACAATCTTATTAATTCTAAAAATATTATCTTGGACTTGAAAATTTTGATTCTTTTTGAATCAAATAAGAGTAAAATACTCTTTAATCTCTTCCATTTGGAAATAAAAAGCATTTCACAATCGAATTTTGAACGTTAAAACGCAATTTTATTTGATCTCAATATGCATTAAGACTTTAATCATAATATGTCTTCCATAAAAAAATAACATTTTAAAAATGTTATTCAGTTTTCACACTGAGAAACTGCTTACTGCTATAATATTAGCAATATTTGATGCTTACATAATATCACGTGTTTTAGTAACTAAGCACGCGATCAACAATGGAAAAGTTACCAACAACAAATGATATTTTCAAAACTATTTATTAAAAGTTGTGCCAAAGTTAGTTTTCTTCGACTGCAGGTTAAAAATACAGATTGTATTGCATTTGCTTCAAAGAAATGAAAAAGCCGGGACTAAGTTTATGATAGAAACCATTCAGTTTACTCGAAGAGATTGAAAACTTGTTTTTTGAAGAGAATTCAGTCGATAGACTTAATATTAAAATTTTATAAGATGTGTGAAAAACAATTACAAATTCAAATAGTGTTAGTAGTATTATGTTTAGTATTTAAAGGTCTGCTTGGAGTTGATGATAGTGAGTATAATCTGTATTTTTATGTAGAACCTTTTTTCATATAAGTATAACTTTTTTATATTTTCCAACAGGTATTTTATTTTCGGTGACGAGAGCCCCACGATATTTTGGAATACTTCAAGATCATCGCGGACAACCTCTGTCAGTGGAAGTTTCTGAGGAATATATGGATCAAGATTATATAGCTACTAATAGGTGACCATAAAGAATGAACGATAATAAGTAGATAAGGAATAATACAATTAAAAAAAACGGCAAATTTGAAATTTAATTTTAAATTTAAATTCAAGGTTCTACGTGAAAAATAATTTCCAAAAGATCGGTACAAAAAATTAAAGCAGTAATTTTTGTTTAATTAAGTTTTAATATCATTAAGTTACAATGTTCTTTATATTTATTTTGCTTTCAGAAAACGACACAAAATCAATTGGAACAAGTAAGTCGCAATCTTTAAGTATATTTTTTTGCAATACGTTATAATTTTATGCTGACGCTACTTTTTATTTAGGAATCCTTTGGATATTGATGATTTCGATGATGATGAAACGGAGGAATTATTTGAAGATAAAGATAAGGATGTAAAATTATCAAACAAATACAACCTACAAGCTGGACCTGTCTAGAATATAGTTAATAATGAAGTTAAATTAAATGTGAAAATAAAATTATATTATTTATATTAATATTGATTTCTTTAAGTCCTTATAGTAAGTGTCAAGATATCATATCTATGCTCAATAGACTAGACGGGACTGTTTTGGATAAATAATATTCGTTTACTTAATATGGTAAGTATGTAATGATTTTTCTTTCTCTTTCTTATATTATAATATAGGTTTTATATTCATTCATTTATAAAAGGAACAACATTGAATTTACATTAATCCGGAATAAAATGTATGTTCTAATTTAATTAGATGGAAAGTAATATTTTAAATGACTTATTTCAGAATATAACAAACTGTTATATAAACTTAAATTTTCGTATATTCATTAATCGCTATTTGAATATTGATTCAATCTTTATTTCATTCATTCATTAATCGAATGTAACAGCTCCAAAAGATATTTGATTTGTTATTCTGGTTTTAGCTTTCGATATATGGAATATGATATTTTATTGCATTCAAATACATTTATCGATAAATAATAAATGAAATTTCAGAACATAATTCACATTTTATTTAAGAAATTTTAGTTTCTATTCATTTCTGCACACATTTTTTTGTTAAGAAAATAATTTTAATCAACAATCGGTATCTAATGGCATCGGTAGACAAGTATCGTGACGTATTTCATTGACAAATGAATTTATTGCTTGTCACTTTCCATATTGTTTATTCGTTAAACAGGTTATAAATCGTGAATTAAAATAATATAAAACTACTTTATACTCTGTATTTATTTTATTAAGAAAATATCAAAAATACGAAAAAAATATCAACATTAAATGTCATCGTACATATTCGCGAGGCGGTCTTCCATTGATTGCGGCATTTCGATCGGCATTTTGGCCATTTCCAACGATTCCTCAGAATAATCTGTAGTTTCGTCAGTATATAATTCTTCTATGTGGTCCTGGTATATCTTCTCACATTCTCTAGGATGTTCACTCTTTAACGTGCTTGGATGGTAACCTATAGCTTCTATGACACCCAACGTCAAATACGGTACTTGGGTTGTCACTTCGAAATGTTTATCTGTGTAAAAAGTATTGAATTTTTCTGATTATTATAGCTTTATAGACTTATTTATTTTGTTGAAATTAGATTCTAGATGATTTGATATAGTGAAATGAAATTATAATAGTAATTTATTTATACTTGTCACTGTTCTATCTATATATATACTTAGAAATATTTTTTTATCTTATAGAAGGACCCTTATTCAATAAGATAAAATTCATTATTAATCAAGATGGATTTTTTTAGTGAAAGCAACAAAAGTATTTTTTTAATATAAGCTATGGCTTCATTCGAACTACACTAGAATCTTGGAATATTTTGCCAACCTCAACGTTTTGAGTACTTACTATGTTTTGAAAACACATATCTAATATAAACTCAAAAACTCATCATATAAACTTAATTTGTCAAAAATGACAGGTGCATAGCCTTTATTTCATGTATCCAAAAAAAGAATTTATCTATAGTTATAAATATCATTAAAGTTAAAAATAATTACGCCTTCATTGAAATCGATATTACAATAAATAAAATTAACAAAAATTTCTATATAACTCACAATCTATATGATCAGGTATGATGACTGTAGCGACTGTCTTAGCAACTTTATCATCATAGTAATCTCCAATAATGTCGACCTGGTTTCCTTCGTGTACGTCTCTTGATGGCGGTTTTTTGCTGCACTCCTCTTCCAAATGTCTTCTTCCAGACAGCGAGTGTTTGACGTTAGGCGGTGGTATTTCCGTCAGCGGCATAAATTTCTTACCAACTAAACCCCCCACGGGCTTCAGTTTTGACAATCTGATTTTTGGTTAAATAAATTGAATGATTATAATGGTTTTGTTATTAGAAAAAGTTACGAAAGTCGGAATGATGGAATTATGTAAATAACAAAGGGATAGATGATCAAACTAAATGAGCGAAATAGAATGATGTTTCTGTTTCATGTTCATCACAGGTTTTAAAATATATAATTTCTTTTCGGCCTCATACCATTGTAATTTAATTTTCCGGTTTTATTTCCATTTTCGGCAACTTAATCTATATATTTTTATTAAAAGGCCAAGTAAAATATAATATTTTTTGTCAGTTTTTAATATAAATGATCTTTAAAATCTATATTCTATGCACAAGATTTGGTATAATTAAATAGTTAGTTAAAGAATAAAAAGCAATAAAACAACTAACTTTGAAATATGGAATATTATTCGGGAATTCAAATATGGAATAATAAAAAAATCTGTTAACTTACTTATTCATCAAAGCACTGTCCCTTATTTCAGAAAAAACTTGGAAAGTAATTTGGTATAATATAAAAAGATGAATTATCCACTTCATTTTCTTCATTTAATTGTATAACATATTTGAAATGAGTAAATTTTATAAATATCTCAAACACTCAACCGTCCGAGTGTCACTACGTGTAAGGTGAGCCGTTTTTTTGAGTTTTTATACCATTGTAACAATGTCAAATGTGCGATAGTGTACTTTTTGTTTTCTATTGTGTTCCATCCAACAGGTGTACGTGTTCCTTTTTAATTCTTTTAAGAAATTGTACAAGTAACTAGTATGAAACAAAAAAGACTAATGTTACCTAATTAACTGCTTGTTTGGAAAGATTTTCTAGATTAATTAACTAGCCAATTATATAGGTAGCTGACGGCACTATTAAAGACATTTTTTACCCTTTTACAAATTTCCCTTCTATAATTATATATGACATTTAAGAGGAATTAACACTTTATTTGGTTAATTATATATTAACGTTTGTCTTATTAGGAATTTATATTTATATCGTTCAGTTTTTCTGTTATATTATATATTAATATAATCTGTTTTTCTTTTTCTTATAAATGACAGGATCAAGGTGCCAGGTCTGGTTTCCACCGCAGGAGATAAGAGTGAAGCATCCGCCGTACACTATTGGAGGGTCGGTATCAGGAACGCATATGTTGTCCTGGCAGAATGTCGCTGTGCCTTTTGGAAAAGGTGACATTTGAAAAAAAAAAAGTGACATCACTATTTTATTTGACGTAATTTGCTCAAATGAGTTTCTATATATGTAAGAACTCATTGTTAATTATTTTAAATGTATTGTTATGAACGCTTACCGACGTATCCTGTAGGTCGCGCCTGTCTTTTGTTTTTAACGTAATCGACCACGGCTTTGGAGAGTGCGTAGAAGTGTTTGCTGGCCTTGTACCTCATCTTCGCTAGGGCGGCGTTGCAGTCGCTTTTATCAGCCCGACAATGGTAAACCAGGTTTCTAGTGTTCGCTTTTATCATTTCCTCTCTAAGGACCTGGTATTTTGTGTCCGTGTGAAGAAGTTGCGCGAAACGGACATTTACTGGAAAAAATGAAATTTAGAAGAAAAAAGAAGGAAAACATTGATTAATTGTAGGTATAAAATAAGATTTCGGCAAACAAGTACGATTTGTAGACATTATATCAAATTAAAAAAATATTTTACATTACATATCTCTAATATTAAATTGCAAGGAGATATAAAATTGTTATGCCTTAAAAGCTATATAAAACAATTTCTTAGGACATTAAGGTACATGTGGTTGTGAAGATTTTTTATGCCAACCTCATTTCATGTAACTAACATAACTTTTATACCGCCTACTCGAAAAGAACATCGTATAAAGATATGTCAAGGCGTTTTTAATAATGAGTCTTAGAATTCTTCTTCTTTATGGCAATTTCCCAGCTTTTGCCAGGGTCTGCCTTACATGTTGTGAATAGTTTTGGCTAATTATTTTTACGACCGGCCGCCTGCCTGACATCAACCCTCTTTGGGAAAAGAATCTCTCTTAGAATTGAGCAAACATATTGTTATATAACAATTTTATTGCTTGATTGAACAGTTTATTTTTAGTTTTTAATTTTTTTGACTGTATTTGGGAGATAATGACTATATTGAATATACTCACATCCAGCGCCAACTAAATAACAATTTATTTGTGTGATCGCCAAGTACGCGAACACGTACAGACCGACCCCCCACATCAAAGACATTTTAATAACTGTTCCATATAAACGTATAAAAACTAAACGTAATTGGCAATAGAAAAAAATTTATGATACAATTAATCGATATAACGGAACTAAAAATTTTAACAAGTTAGGAATATACTCTAATTAATGGGTTTACCTTTATGGGGGGTAACAGGCTCCAATTCCATCTCGGAGCCCAAGCCAACCCTGCCTGCACGTGGCACCCCTGCTGGACAACGGAAAGGGCTCTGGCGATGCTTTTCCTCTGGAGTTCACTCTAGAGGTTCGGGAGTCAGACGGCAGTCGTCTCGGTAATAGGCAAACAAGCCAATAAAAATGATAGGAAAGAAAAGAGAAAGCGACATGGCTAGGGCGTCGCCGTATAACGACGCGCAGGGGGATCGCCTTGCCCCTGCGATAAGTGGGCGAGGGCTACCGGGTGCCGCGCGAACCCGGCTAAAGAAGTTAGCGCCTGTTGCGAAGATCCGCTTTGCTAGCTGGAACATTGGCACGCTGACGGGACGCTCTACTGAGCTCGCGGCCACACTCGCCAGACGAAAAGTGGCGGTGGCGTTCTTGCAGGAGACACGGTGGAAGGCCAACAGAAGCCGTTACATAGGGCAAGGCTACAAGCTGATTTATACAGGCTCTCCTGGCGGGGAGAACGGTGTGGCGGTTGTGCTTTCCGAGCGCTACCATGACAGTATCTTGGAAGTCAAGCGTATTTGCGATCGACTTATGGTGGTAAGGGTACTCATTGAGGGAGTAGTAACTCACCTCATAAGTGCCTACGCCCCACAGGTCGGATGCAGTGATGCGGATAAGGCACTGTTCTGGGAGCGTGTCGGTGACGTGCTAGCCGCCATACCGTTGTCTCATGGTATTGTTTTGGGTGGTGATTTGAATGGTCATGTGGGAGAGACGCACGAGGAGTATGGACGTGTTCATGGCGGATATGGTTACGGCCGAAGTAACGCGGAGGGAGAAACCATTCTCCGAACCTGCGTCGCCGCTGACCTGGCCGTAGTGAACACGTTTTTCAAAAAGAAACCTGAGCATCTTATCACCTACAGGAGCGGTCGAAGCGCCACTCAAATCGACTACCTTCTGACTAGGAGAAGCCTTGTCAGCCGCGTGGCCAACTGTAAGGTCATACCCGGAGAGTGTCTAACTGCCCAGCACCGACTCCTTGTTATGGATCTCTGCGTGAAGCCTCGCCGTAAACACGCTGAGCGTTGCCGCCGCCAAATCAAGTGGTGGCTGCTGGATCACACCAGGTTCTCGGAATTTGACTGTGCCACTGGGGACATAAGTCCGGATACAGAAGGCAAGTCCGTTGAAGAGTACTGGAATAAGCTTCAGACAACAATCACGAAATCGGCAAAGCAAATCCTCGGTGTGGCGAAAGGAGGCCGCAAAATTGACAAGGAGTCATGGTGGTGGAATGCCACAGTCCAAAGGATGTTACAGGAGAAGAAAGTGCTCTTTAAGAAGTGGCAAGCGTCTAAATCCCCTGAAGATCACGAGTCGTACAAGATTGCGAAAAGAGAGGCTAAGAAATCTGTAGCCAGAGCCAGGCGGGAACACTTGCAACCACTATATGCGAAGTTGGACTCGCCTGAGGGGCATAAGCTCATCTATAAACTAGCACGCTCTAGGATCAGGGCAGCGCAGGATATAAGTCACTGCCGCTGTGTTACTGACGCTAACGGAACGCTCTTGTACGATGAGTGTGCAGTGAAGGAGAGATGGCGCTTTTATTTCCACGGATTACTGAACACTCAACACCAAGAGGCGCGACCACCAGCACCTCCTCCAAACCTAGGACTTGTGCCACCGATTACGTCTGGTGAAGTACTCGATTCTCTTCGTCGCATGAAAAATCGGAAGGCTGTCGGACCGGATGAGGTATCAATTGAAGCGTGGAAAGCGATGGGTGCTCGTGGTGTGTGCATCCTTACTAGCCTTTTTAATTTAATCCTGAACCACCGGAAAATGCCGAATCAGTGGAGGCGGAGTTTCATAACGCCGGTCTACAAGGGCAAAGGGTCTGCTCAGGATTGCGGTAACTACCGTGGTATAAAGGTGATGTCACACACCATGAAACTCTTCGAGCGCATAATTGATAACAGAATCCGGCAGGAGTGTACAGTGTCGGATTTCCAGTACGGTTTCCAACCGGGACGTGGTACCATGGACCCTATTTTCGCCCTTAGGATTCTTATGGAGAAACACAGGGAAAAGAATATGCCTCTTCATTTCCTATTTCTGGATTTGCAGAAGGCCTTTGACTGTGTTCCCAGAGAGATAATCTGGTGGGCGTTGAGGTCCAAGATGGTGCCAAATACCTATGTGGAAATCGTACGAGACATGTACCACAACTCTGATGCTATAGTCAGGACCGCTGTTGGTGACACCACACCCTTCCCTATTACTGTAGGCGTGCATCAAGGATCTGTCCTAAGCCCATATCTATTCAGTGTGATATTAGACGAACTGTCAGCCAGTGTACAGAAGTTACCACCGCCTTGGCTGCTGATGTACGCTGATGATATCGCACTGGTGGATGAGGACAAGGGACGTTTAATCCGGCGTGTGCACGAGTGGAAAGGGGCACTTGAGAACGGCGGGCTGAAAATTAATGCGACGAAGACAGAGTATATGGCTTGCAATAGCTCGGATCCTACCTCCATCTGGATCGACGACGTCATGGTAGGGCGTACGGATCACTTTAAGTACCTTGGATCTGAGCTCGATGCGTCCGGAGACATCGATCGCGACATCAAAGCCCGTATAACTGCGGCTTGGGCGAAGTGGCGTGAGGTGATTGGAGTTATTTGTGACCCTAAAATGCCGGTCGTGCTGAAGGGACAGGTCTATAAAACCATCATTAGGCCTGTCCTTATGTACGGCAGTGAGGCATGGCCTCTGCTGGAGCGGCACCGGCGGTTGTTGCATGTCACGGAGATGAATATGCTGCGCTGGATGTGTGGCGTTACGCGGAAAGACCGCGTTCGTATCTCACACATTCGTGGCAGTTTGCATGTCCGTGACATTGCCGACAAATTGCAGGAAAGTCGCCTACGCTGGTACGGCCATGTCTTACGACGACCGGAAAACTACGTGGGTCACAAATGCCTCAATATGACCGTACCTGGCGCCAGGAGTAGAGGAAGGCCCAAAAGACGTTGGCTTGATGTCGTGCAAGATGACATGCGTGCCAATGGACTCCACAAGAAGGATGCCGAAGACCGGGCTAAGTGGAGGAAACTGAGTGGAAAAGCGGACCCTGGGTTCTCACGCCCTGGGCGGGACGAACAACCGGGACAAACGCTAGGGTGATGAATGGGTTTACCTTTACGTATGAGTTAGTTATGTATGGTCGACACAACATGTCTTTCTCTTCCACAGAACATATTGTAAATAGTTTTGGCTAATTGTTTTTTACGACCGGCCGACTGCCTGACATCAACCCTCTTTGGGAATGCATTAATCAGTGATGTCTAAATACTCTTAGACTGTACATATGACTCGGAAAAATCACATTGGTACTTGCCAGGGCCAGGAACGAACCCGCGCCCTTGTGCATGAGAGGCGGGCCTTTTAACCACTAGGCCACCACTGACTGACTTTAAAGTCGTATGACTCATCATAAGTACTAGCTGAATGCTATATTAATATTGGTGTTGTATATATATAATTTGAATATATACATTATAAATATGTATTATAACAGTGCAGGACCAGAATCTGCATTTAGAATGGCGTCGCTAACAGCATTTGTGTATTTCATTAGTGGTGCTTGTACTTCCAATACAATACTGAAAAGGCATCCGATCTTATAAGTCTAATTAACAATAGAATCCATTTGTAGTCGGCTCGCACTTCAAACAATGAAATTCCTTAATTACCAGTTCCTGACAGTCTACAAGAGATAGCACCGAATTATAATAGCATTTCACGCTTCTACCACAATTTACTGCGACGCCTTTTATAGAAATGTTGTAGGTTTGTGTACAATCAGAACTGACAGCATATTGAATTTACTATAATTATTTTTATGAATATCATGCCCATGTTTTAAAGATCGTTACAATCATAATAATATATAAAAGATATATTTTTTTTAATAACAAAAAGCTATTCAATAAAGTCAAAATAATATTGCATTTACACAAAAAGATTCTTTTGAAATCTTTTAGCCATAAATAATTTAAATAAAAGTGCTTGTTCGTTCTAAATGTTTTTAAGTCTGTGGATCAAATATGCTCTCAACGGACAATGTGGCACGCGTTTTAACTTATATCTGCTCACTCAATCGCGTATTATATTGTGCCCACAGGTTTGGTCACTTTGAATTAAATCCCTTATAAGGTTTTTGCATAGAGGAAACCTTTCCACTACCAATTAATGTTAATATGAATTGCAGATGATATAATTTTTAGTACTTTTTCTTCTTCGTCTACCTGGCAATTTCCCCTCTATCGCCAGGGTCTGCCTTACATGTTGTGAATAGTTTTGGCTAATTGTTTTTTTACGACCGGCCGCCTTCCTGACATCAACCCTCTTTTTGGGAATCAGCATTAATCAGTGATGTCTAAATATTCTTAGAAAGTACATATGACTCGGAAAAATCACATTGATTGACTTTTATTTCTATATTAAAACTGCAATGCATTGATTTGCTAGAAATCGAGATTGTTTTCTAGGTATAGAAATCAGAAAATTGTGAGCACGGAATTGTACTCACTAATTGTGCGACAAAATAATACATCAGGGACTTATCGCGCCATTGTTGGCTGATATAGTGGCGCCAATTACAAATAACTAAGCATTTCAGCTTTATTGTATTTCAAACAGATTGTACATTGGAGGTGCGTTTTGTAACGAGTGTATATTGAGGCTATCAGATATTTCTGATGCTGGGCAGGTTTGACTTGGTAAAGGGTGATATATTTTTTTTTAATTTTATCTGTAGAGGACATTTAAAAATACACAATACTTAACGAAAGAAGTATCTG